TGAGGGCAGGAGACTGAAGAGATCTGAGAGGTAACTAGAGGAAAAGGAAGGTCAACTTCAGGGGCTAAGAGGAGATGGGAGGCTTCTGCCACATGGCATCAAAGCCCCGGATCAGACGTTAGTTCAATCTCTACCTTTGGTAAATCACCTTCTCTGAGATAAACTGGACCAATTCATCGAACACCAGAAACCACCACAACTCACCCCATACAAATACCTAAGTGGAGTAGCTCTAAAACTATTTTTATAATTGAATATATAATTTAGAAACCTATCAAACCTATCCACTGAAACCACTCAGATGGGTTCAGTGGAGAATTCTAGAAAAGCATTTAAATCTCTACAACCTCTTCCAGAACATAGAGGGAATACTTCCTGATTCACTTTATGAACCTGACATCAAAACCAGACCCAAAAAAAAGAAAGTAAAAAGAGAGAAAGAAAGAAAGAGAACTGCTGAACACTATCTCTCAAAAATATAGATGTAAAAATGCTTAACAAAATATTGGGAAACAGAAGTCAGCAATGTATAAAAAGAATTACACACCACAACCAAGTGGGATTTATTCTAGGACACAAGCCTGGTTCAATATTTGAAAACAATCACTATAGTCCAGCATATTGACAAAGTAGTGGTGTTGGCATCAAGGGGTCTCCATTGAGCCATGCCTGGGATGAAGGTGGGGCCGCAAATCTGGGTAAGAGAAAAACATGGACTCTGTATACACGGCTTTTGTTCGAACAAATAAAGTGCTACACTCCCTGGGCAGCTGGTGACTCTGAGGTTGTACACCTGATGCTTGTCTGTCTGCGAGCTGGGACCACTGGAAGCACAGGGACAAACAGGGGAAAGGCTGGCTTGAGGCTCCAGGTACTAAATGAGACAGTCCAATTCTCCAAGGTGAGATGGATCTCAAGAGTAGGATCCAAGAGCAAAGAAGAGGAAGAGAACCTGGAAAAAGTTGGCAAGTCCTAAAATGAAAAGACTCCCGGCTGCCTCTGACATTCAGCACAGTGTACGCATCACGCATTATGGCTTTCTGTGCCTTGTCTGAATGCACTTGGCCCTCACCATTCCAGTAGCCAGTGCAAGCTGACACGGTCCCACTGCCTCCTGACTGAGGGACAGCTCTGCCCGAGAGCTCTTGCCCTGTAGTCAGCTTAAGTGCTAGGGAGTTAGAGCAGCCCTTAGTCGAGGAAGGATGGGGGTCGGGCTGGGGAGGGGGGAAGGTGGAAGATAAAGACTCCAGCTCCCATGTCTCTAGGAAGGGCAACTCCAGCTGTTCTTCACAAACTTTCATGTGCTTATGACTCCCATGGAAGACTGAATAAAATGCAGATTTCGAGTCAGCAGCTGTAGGGTGGGGCCAGAGAGTCTGCATTTTTTTAAAGAATATTTTATTTTTTTTATTTTTTTTTTTAAGATTTTATTTATTTGACAGACAGAGATCACAAGTAGGCAGAGAGGCAGGCAGAGAGAGGAAGGGAAGCAGGCTCCCTGCCGAGCAGAGAGCTTGATGCAGGGCTCGATCCCAGGACCCTGGGATCACGACCTGAGCCGAAGGCAGAGGCTTTAACCCACTGAGCCACCCAGGCACCCCGAGTCTACATTTCTAACAAGCTCTCAGTCAGTGCCTATGCTGCTGGTCTGGGGACCATACTTGGATTCCCCTACCAGTGCTCTCTGCACTTTTCCCCCAAACAAACTGTTTTCACATTTCTTTTTGGAGGGTGTGCTCTGGGAAAAATACCTTTTTCCATCTCCCTTCTTGGCGTTTTGTGTTCTTTGTTTTCAGTCTTCTATAAGCCTGACCACTACCTTGCAATGTGACTCAGGGCAAACATTTCATTTCCTCATCTCCAGAATGAGAGGGTTAGACTGTCTAGTTTCCTTCCCACTCCAACATCCTAAAGAAGTTCTCATTATTCTAGTGATTATCATACTTTCCACACTCCTCCCAATCTGCTTTCCTGCTCTTGTGCATGACCTTTAAAAAATCAAGCTGGCTTCACATTCTGCTCATCTTCAAAAGATGTCTCTAAACAGAAATGGAAAATGGAAGCCTTTTCTTTAAACAGAATAGCAAAAATCCTTGACAGATAAAGGATATAGCCAATGTTCACACATGCAGATGACATTTTCATTGTGTGGGAGAAAAAGAGACCATTCACAAAAACATAAGAACAGTAGTTTCAGGCAGAGGCTGAAAATGAAAATCAGTGAGAAACCAACAAAAGATATGAAACCATAATCAAAGGACATCTAAAGAGGAGATAACACACATAAGAAAACACAATAGTGAGTTTGTGAACTTGTCTGCTTTTGGATCAAACATCCTTACACATACATACGCAAATACAAGCTGTCCGCTTCCAGACAGTCACTCTGGAAAGCTGCCTTCTCATACCTAGGCTTAAAACATTTTGAAATTCCTCTAGTTTAAAAGAAACCAAGTTAAAGAATATATATGTAATATTACCATTTTAGTCACCATTTTTTTTTAATCCAAAATGAGAAAACCAACATAATGCAACCCCTATTTCTGGTAACAATAAATTTTCTAAAATATTAATAAATGAAGTTCAGACACGTAACCATCAGTTATTGCTGTGTAACACGTAATCTCCAAATCACAGGGCATTCAACGAGTGGGTCTGTCTCATGCGTGAGTCTGCACGCCTGCTGGGTAGCTAAGCTTCTGGCTGCAAATCTGCAGGTTGGCTGGGTAGTTCTGGAATAGGTGAATTCAGTATAGTACCCAGATGCTGCCGGAGAAAGCTATCCAGGCGTATCATCCTACTGTGGCTGGGGTCACGTGTTGCTTTGAAGGACTAGGGTTGGAAGTGTTACCCTCTTACCTCCCCATGTTCCATTCCAAAGCAAGTCATGTGGCCTAGCCCAACATTAATGAATGCCTCCCATTAAGTTATCCATGGACAGAATGAATACGTGTTCAACAATACTCAAATCTGCCAAAAAATGGTATTAAGAATCCTAGAGGTGTTTTCCAAAGAAGGGTGATGTAAATATTATTGCTGTTATTGAAATAAGGCTATAATTGCATGTAAGGACTGTATGAGAGGCCGGAGTTTTACTTTGTTTTGAAAAATCCTTTTTATGCTTTTATGCTTTTTATAAAAAAAAAAGAACTTACTGTTTACCTAACAGAGCATCCAAGTTTGATTTATGCTTGTATGGGACTGAAATCTACCCACAGAGGATTCTAAAAGTTGTTAAGTCCATGTTGCCGTCGTTCTCTTTCATATAACCTTCAAAAGAAGAAGCAAGGGGCGTCTGGGTGGCTCAGTGGGTTAAGCATCTGCTTTCGGCTCAGGTCGTGATTTCAGGGTCCTGGGATCGAGCCCCACATCGGGCTCTCTGCTCAGCGGGGAGCCTGCTTCCCCCCTGCTCTCTCTGCCTGCCTCTCTCTGCCTACTTGTGATCTCTGTCTGTCAAATAAATAACAAAAAAAATCTAAAAAAAAAATTTTTTTTTAAAGGAGACACAAAATGAGAAGAATCTCCATTCTGATATCTCTAGGCTGGGGCTTGGCAGGCAGCAGACAGGAGAAAGCATCACCAGTTTGCTGGAGTCAATTAGGTTTTGTGGTAAGCTACTCTGGGCAGTCATGATCCCTGAGTTCAACCCGAATGCTCCTACTCCCTTAGCTGCCGCTATGATGTCAGCGGCACGTCTGACACATGGAGTCGTCTCTCCAGGCTTCCCTCCCTTCACCTGTAAATGCTCTCCCAGGGGCAGCCGGTCCTAAAAATACAGGAACTGAGAACGTATTACATGCTGGAGGTTTTCTGCTGTCACCATTTCCTTAATGAGAACTGCTTTGTAAAGTCACTGATTTCAGCTCTAGTAAGCGTAACAGCTTTTATGTGTTAGCAGCTAAGAATGCAAATTCTCATTTAATAGTCTAGATTTTGTCTTCTGTAAAGATGAGAGTGTCTTGGGATTTGTTGGGATCATTAATAGTGAGGTGACAGTTTCTAATCTTAAATTCTCTAGATTAAAACCAAAAGATTGCCTTTCTCTGTCGAGTGACTATAATGTGCTGGCAAAAAGCCGTGTGTGTGTGTGTGTGTGTGTGTGTGTGTGTGTGTGTGTGTGTGTGTTTAAACCACCCACAAAACTTAGCGTGTGTGTGTTTGGCAGAGGGGGTAATTTCGTAACAAAACTATCAATAACAAAGGATTTGGGGGAGCTGTGATAACATCCTAAGAACCAGAAGGTGTATTTTGGGGGTGCCTGGGTGGCTCAGTGGGTTAAAGCCTCTGCCTTCAGCTCAGGTCATGATGCTGGGGTCCTGGGATCCAGCCCCACACCAGGCTCTCTGCTCAGCAGGGAGCCGGCTCACCCCACCCCACTACACCCCTGCCTGCCTCTCTGACAACTTGTGATCTCTGTCTGTCAAATATATAAATAAAATCTTAAAAAGAAAAAAACAAAACAGAAGGTGTATTTTGAACTAGGGCTTGAGAAGTGAGCGCCCACTCTACCTGTCCGTCAACAGCCAGGGGAGGAAAGGGTAGTCCAATACTCAAAACCAGCTTCTAAAGCCAAAGTCCACATTCTCTGGACAGCTTTTAACTAATCAATCCTAAACCTCCCGCCGCCGTCTTCGGACCGGTGTTAACCTCACAGCTTACTTACCAAACACCTGGATCCGTTCAGCCAGGCACGTGCTAAGGGTTGCGTCCGTGACCTCATTTAATTCTTTCCACAGTCCTCGGTCATAACCACTGCTCTCCTCCCCTCACAGTAAGAAACTCAGACCGTTCCCAGCTTTGCCAACATCGGTGACCCCGGATTTGGCTGATATTCCTGGCACCCCAGATCTCACCTCCCCGTGCACCTGGCGGCCAGCAGGGAGCGGGATTCGGGGCCGGCGGGGCAGGCGGCGCGGGTGCCCTGCGGGGCGGGGGCGGGCTCAGCGCGGACAAACCCGGCCGGACGCCGGCGGCCGGGGGGCTTCGCTGTGCGCTGGGCCATGGAGCGCCCGGCGCCCGGGGAGGTGCGCATGAGCCAGGCCATCCAGCCCGCGCACGCCAACCCGCGCGGCGAGCTGAGCGCGGGGCAGCTGCTCAAGTGGATCGACGCCACCGCCTGCCTGGCGGGTAGGGGCTGCCCGGGAGGGGTGCTGTGGGGGCTGGAAGGGGAGCGCCGGAGGCCGGGAGGCCCGGGGGGCGGGGGTGCCCTGCGCCCCTGCCGTGGTGGGGGCGCGTGGGCTCGATGTGGTAGGGGGTGTCCGGGAACTGGCGCGCGGGGTTGGCTGTGGGGATGTGGGGTGGAGGGGGATCCCGAGGCCCGGGTGCGGGTCGACCCACCCCAGTGAGGGAGCCGACGCTCGAGCCCCAGCCCGCACAGTTGCTGGAGCCGCGATTCGTGAGGAGAGAGAAGGAAGGAGAAGGTCTTTACAGTTGTGAGTCCGGGGCAGCGGGGAACTTTAAGGACTAAGCTAGTGCATCCGACACGAGAATGACCCAGACCAGTGATTCTCAAATGTTTTAGCCTTAGGACTACTTTACTCCATTATTTAAGTGAGGACCCCGAGAGCTTTTGTTTATGTGGGTTATTTTTTTGATGTTGACTATATTCAAAATCTTTAAAAGTTAATTCATGTAAAAAGAACAAGAATAAGCCCATGACATAGTTTTGTTGAAAAAAAAAAAAAAAAAACACTACATTTTCAACAATGATAAAAATATACTTAGAGGCATGGTACTGGTTTACGTTTCTGCACCTCTCTTTAATGTCTGGTTTGAGAGGAGACTACTCACTTCTCATACCGGCTCCTGCATTCAGTTTGTGGCTACAACACCTTTATTTAAGTCTCGTCTCAGGACATTTGCACCTGCTTCTTATTTCACTATTATGCTCTTCTCTTGGCCCTTTTCTGTCGTTATATCTCAGCTTAAATATCCTTTCCTCACAGAAGTCTTTTTTTGGCCACCTGCTTACATTTCTACCCTTTAAGCAGTTTGATCACAACGCCCCTTTTTCCCCCTTCATGCCACTTAGCAAAATCTGTAATTATTTTGTGTATGGATCTGTTGTTCACCTCTTTATTTCTTGTCTGGCTAATTAGCATGTGAACTGAAGCTAGTTCTCCAGTGCTTAGTAAGCTCTAAATAAAAACCTGCTTTTATGGATGGGTATGTCGGTGACAGATAGGTCCATACCTTGGAATCTCATTTCTAAAATGAAGTCAGACTTTGCATATGGCACTTTACAGACTCAGCAAATGTACATTTTGAAGGAAAATATGTTAGGATAAACTACTAGAGCTGGAAGGAGCTTAAAATCATTATCTTAGGACTCTTATTTTACAGAGGACAAAAGTAAAGCACAGATGATTACAGAACCCTGCTTTTCTCACCGAGCATCAATAGGGTTTGTAATCCCCCGTGTGTAAACCACCCACAAAATTCAGTCACATATTTATGCCAATCTGCTTGTTTGTTTTCTGTTTGTTGATAGGTCTGTTTGGTTTCTGTCTTAACAGTTTTTATCAGTATTTGAGGTCGATTATAATAACATAAATAATGGAAGCATGAATATAAAATTAATTCACATGTAAGAGAAGTGTAAAAGTCATTGAGGTTGCTAATAATAACGATGCCTATTGCCAAGGCAACCGAATATATTATGTGAATCTTGAAGTGACTTTTAGTTACCTCATTTAGTGCCTCTGTCCTGTAAAGGATAAACAGTTGGCCTCCTGCAACTGTCACAAAAATTTCTTGGGAAACTCAGACCACAGATTGATTCAATTGATAACCAGTTACTCTGGATGAATAGGTAGATTACTAACAATACATTAAAGAAACCTTTAAGATACCATTGGTTTGGACACATGGAGATAACCTGTGTTCACCACCCCATGGTGAGAAGCACCACATAAGCAAGAGACATTATTTAGCCAAGGTGTAACAGAATCTGTGGCAGAGAAATGTTGCACCATAGTGCTTTCCTTTATAAAGCAAAAACTTCTTTTCCTGGCATTTTCCTGGCCAGAGTTCCTTATTGACCAGCACTTTTTTACAGCCACTTACTATGATAAATAGTGATCACATAGTCATAACCCCCAAGGCACGGCCATGACTCCCAGGCACTGCTAGACTCCAAAATATCTTCTCAGTATTTTCAGAAAGATTTAATATGTTCACTATTATTTTGGCATTAAACCCATTTCTGTCAGTAGCCCCATTTTTTCTAGTTCCTTAAGCCTAGAGGACTGATGTTGTATCTGAGGGATCCTCCACCCTCCATATCCACTTCTTATTTTGAAATGCCACAGACTCTCATTTCCTTCTGTTTCATTTCTGAATCTCTCCCAGGGTTCACTCTCTCAGGAGTGGCATGCAAGCCATCCAGTTGGGCAGGTCAGAAATCTTGGAGTCATCCATTCTTGATACCTCTCTCTACCTGGCTTTCCCCCATACACATTCAAACCATGAACCAAGTCCTGTCAATGTTACCTTCAAGGAATCACTCAAACCCACCCATTTTACTATGCTTCCATTACCACTGCCCAGGCCAAGCTACCATCATCCTTCATGTGAACTTCAGCAGTGACTTCTAAATTGATCTTCTCCGTTCATTCTTGTTTCCTCTCCACCCCGCATCTGAAGTTCTTGAAGGTGCTAATCTGATCGTATCATACCTTGTTAATCTTCCCCGTTGTCTTCCTTATTAAGGGCTGTAATTAGCTAGCATGGGAAGTATCTCCTATCAGAAGAAAAAGTCACATAGATAACAACTATAAACTCTGGAAAAAACATTGAATAAAAGCTACTTTTGGCAACTAGCAAGTGAACAAAAGCAGATTTAGAACATTTGGAAGTCAACACTTAGAAGAAGAGAATGGTACGATCTAACTTTGTTTCTTTTTTTTTTTTTACTTTTTAATGACTTTAAGCCTGAAGAAAGACTCCATTCGTTGCCAACTAAATTTCTGATGGAAAACCTACAGACATGCTTATTTGAAGAACCAGAGGATTTGGGGGAAATACAGCTACTGAAATGTGAGGAGGAAAATTCAAGAAAGGAGTAAACCAGAGAGGCAGCACCCTAAAATCTGTTTTTTGCTCAAATCTCTGGCGAACCTTGAATTATATATGCATAAGAGAAACTCCAACCTTCCTAGATAATGCCAAAAGAACTAAAAAGGGCTATCCCAATCTCTAGGAAGACAAGAGTTTTATAGTTTGAGTTTAGTTAACTGCTTACTTGGAAAAAAAAATAGTACTGTTCAGAGGAACATGTAAGAATCCACGATTTATACAGCGTATCACTCCTAATGGCTATGATACAGTCCAACATTACTTGATATACAAAGAAACAGGGAAATATGATGCATTTTTAAGTGAAAAGATAACAGAGATCAATCTCTAGATGACCCACGTGCTAGAATTAAGCTTCTGGGGTTATGTAGCAGCTGTTATAACTGTGCTTGAAGATGTATCAAAAACTATGATCTAAAGAATGAAAAGATAATAAGTTTCAGTAGAGAAATAGAAACTAAAAAAACAACAACAACCAAGGGGCGCCTGGGTGGCTCAGTGGGTTAAAGCCTCTGCCTTTGGCTCAGGTTGTGATCCCAGGGTCCTGGGATCGAGTCCCGCATTGGGCTCTCTGCTCAGTGGCGAGCCTGCTTCCTTCTCTCTCTGCCTGCCTCTGCCTCTCTGCCTCCCTGTGATCTCTGTCAAATAAATAAATCAAATCCTAAAACAAACAAACAAAAAACCAAGTGGAAATTCCTAAACTTAAAATTACAGTATCTGAAATTTTAAAAAAAATATTCACTGGATAGGCTTAACAACAGACTGAAGGGGACTAAGAGTGAGTAAACATAAAAGTGGACAATAGAAATTATATAGTCTGAAGAAAAGAGAAAAAGATGAATTTCAAAAATGAACAAACAGATTTATGAAAAAATGCTTCCAAGTGTGTAACATACTTGTCATTGGGGCTCCAAAAGAGAGGAGAAAAAATATGAAGCATAAAACAAATATTTAAAGAAACAGTAGCTGAAATTTTCCCACATGTGTTGAAAGGCATACATTTACAGATTGAAGAAGATCACAGGATACCAAGCAAGATGAATACTAAAAAACTCACATCTGAGTACATCACAGGCAAACTATGATGAAAAGAAAATCTCGAAAGCAGGCAGAGAAAAACACTATGCTACACCTAGGAGAATGATGCTTAGAATTACTTCTGACTTTATCAGAAACATTGGAGTCCAGAAGACGGTGGAACAATATCTTTAGTAATAATTATAAAACTGTCAACCAAGAACTTCAAGGCCCTGTGCCTAGTCCATTCTCAGCCAAGCCTTCAGCCTTACCAGCTCTCCTTCTTGCTTTCTGAATTTTTTCCCCAAAGATTTTTATTATTTATTAGAGTGCATGCTCAAGTGGGGAGAAGGACAGAGGGAGAGGGAAAGAGAGAATCTGAAGAGACTCCATGATGAGTGTGGAGCCCAAGTCAGGGCTCGATCTCATGACCCTGAGATCATGACCTGCGTTGAAATCAAGAGTCAGGTGCTTAACCAACTGAGCCACCCAGGCACCCCTCTTGCTTTCTGCATTTTATCTTCAAAGACTTTGATCAGGATCTTTGTATATGGTGTTCCCTCTGCTCATTGTGTTCACCTTTTTTCTGTTCTTCCTCCCCAACACATCTGTTTCAGTATTAATCATCTTTCAGATCTCTGCTGAAGCATCCCCTCCACGTGCATCTTCCTGACATCCCATCTATGTCCAGTTTCTCTGTTACAACTCCCATAAAAACCATGTTTTCCTCATGGCACTTAATTCATTTTGTTATTACTTACTCATTTTATTAATCCCTGGTTTCTCCACTAGACTCTGAGAACAGAGATCATGGCTGTTATATATTGCCACCCCCTTACATAGATGCTAGCATATCATGGGTCTTTAGTCAACATTTGTTAAAGGAATGAATGAATGGAGATACCACCACTTTAATCAGTCATCATCTCATACCTGGATTACAACCATTTAACTAGTCTGCTACTATTCCCAGCTGTCTCAGTTTCTCCACAAAATCAGTAATAGCTTTAGAGTTTCTCCACTTTTATTGGTAAAGAAGGACAGTCATTGTATAAAGGACAGTCAAAATCAAAAATCAAGAGCAAGTTCGTCCTATTGAACTCATAGATAACACACTTGTAAACAAAATAAAAACTGCATAGAAACACATGTAAAAATTGTGGTCCTATGTTGGTTCCCCATAGTTTTGTTTTTTGTTTTTAATTTAATGACCCTTAAAAGTCTATAGGGTAAACCATAAATTAAGCCTCTGAAACCCATATCTAGCTAAGCAGATCTCTGAAGAGTGTTCCTTGACTGCTCTTTTCTGGGAGTTCCTATTGTTTCTGTAGTCAAATCCACTATGTAGAACAATACAGTTGATCTTTCTAAGCCTAAATTTCCCCATTTGTAAAGTTAAACTAAAAATGATACCAACCTCGTGTAACTGACATGCATAAATACACAGCTCAGTGCCTGGTCAATAATACGTGTTTGATAAATGGTAACTATTATTATGATAATGTTTGTTCATGATCCCAATCTACTATAATGCTATATGTTATATATATAACATATAAATTATATATATATGTCATATAAATTATATATAGTGCTATATATATGTGACAAAATTATATATATTTGTACATACATATATATAATAGATGCTTGATATATACAATAAAAATTTAGCCTTGCTGATTATTGCCCTTTAGTTATCATTTAAATCTTTCAAAATTGGTCACTAAGGTTGACATACGTGATAATGGTTTCTTAACAAGAATAGTTTAATAAACTCAACATCCTGTTCCTTCATGTCAGGTAAGTGGGATGAATGTCCTTTAGGTACTCCTTAGTTAATGTTTTATAGCACATATTTGCAAGGATCCAGTAGTTCTCTGAAAATATTAAGCTCCAAAAGGGCACCGACTATGGCTGGCTCTCTAATTGCCCCCGAGTAGACTTGGTAAGAGATGGGACTGACTCAGCTCAGTGTCTGGAAATCAGTAAGGATTTAATCACTAAGGATTTAATTCCTGTTAAATCAGGAATTTAACAGGTGTTTGACACACTGAATTCAGTTGAGCCCAACTTGAGTATTTCTAGAGTCTGATACTTTTACATTCCCTTCCTCTCACTGAACTTAATAGCTGGGAATCCAATCTTCTGCTCTCCATCCCTCATACACAGAGTGCTGCTGTGGTTACCTTTTGGTAACTCAGTTTGCATTATGTGCATGTTTGGAAAAACAGTTCATTATTTCCAACTGGTAAAACCAAAATTCCAGTTTTCTGCAAATGACATTATATGACAGAGTGTCCTAAATAACCTGCTTTCTGGAGTATTTTCTTGCCTCTTTTTATCTCGCATGGTCAGTTATTACTGCAGTTAAAGTATCCACATGAAGAAGACAATGTCCATGTAATTTACCATCTCTTCCATCATGTGGAAGCAGGAGCGATGTCTCCAAAATTAAAATGGGGTTAGAAGTTCCTAAAAAGCCAGCACAATCTGTTTGGATTTTAACTGTTCATCAAAATCAGATTTTGGCAGAAGCACATGTTCACATTTTTCCTGAAGAGAATAAGTTCTGACATTTTTTTATATAAAACAAAAAAACAAAATTGGGACACCTGCGTGGCTCAGTTGGTTAAACCGCTGCCTTCGGCTCAGGTCATGATCCCAGGGTCCTGGGATTGAGTCCTGCATCAGGCTCCTTGCTTGGCAGGGAGATTGCTTCTCTCTCTGCCTCTGCCTGCCACTCTGCCTGCTTGTGTGCTCGCTCACTTGCTCTCTCCCTCTCTCTCTCTCTCTCTGACAAATAAATAATAAAATCTTTAAAAAAACATAAAACAAAACCAGTAATCCAAAAAAAACCACTTTAACGGATTAAATGCAGACTTGGAATATGGACATAGCTAGAGATTCTTCCTTAATCTCTTTCCACCCTATTTAATACTGTCCTCTCTAACATAATTAATACATACTGAATTTGATAATAATGAACAATAAATATTGACTAAATACCTAGTATGTGCCGAGTATTTCTCTGACACCCAGAGAAGCTGCTGTCTGATTTGGAGTATGATCTCAGGATCTCCATACTATTCAGTGCTTATACATGTTAACCGGTCAAAATATATGCAGCTTCTGGTTATGTGGGATAATGGATACAGCTTTAATGCATTGTTTTTAAAACAAAAGGAGGGTAGTATCTGTCAAAATATTTGAAGTTGGCACCAGTGAACTAAAATTACTATTTCAATCGCTAGATATACTAGGTATCGGTATTGAATTTCAAATCAAAGACAGTGTAAGTTAAAACTTAGAAGAAAGTACAGTCATTTCAATGCAATAGAAACACAACTTACAGAGCTGAAGAATTGTAACTGACCCAGGTCTCCCCCAAGTGTGTACTCCCCCAAGTACCCAGAGTGGTACTTACCTGAACCAGAGGATGAGCTACTAGAATAAGTCCATTTAGTTTTTATTTCTTTTCCCTTGTGCTGAAATGTTTAAACATAACTATTGATGCAGCCCATTTTCATCTGTTTTTTGAAGCTGAAAAACATGCCGGGGTTTCCTGTGTTACAGCCTCAGTGGATGACATACAATTTGAGGAGATGGCGAGGTAGGTGGCATCGCTCTACCACACCTGTCTCCCACGCTTATTGGTTTGTTTACAACATATATTTGTGGCACCTGTGCTCATTTATTTGTCGTCAGTGATCCAGTTTGTTAATAAAATCACTAACAGTTGACCTCGTGTAAATCAGTAGAATAGTAATTGCAGGACCTACTTTTAGTAAAGACTTTTAAGTGTAAATTCACAGTCCTGATTTCATGGAGAAATAGCTCTCTAAAAAAATGCATTCTGGTTTGAGACAGAGCAAGATTTCTGAAAGCTGCCTCATAATGGCTTTTTCCTCAACTAGAAGAATAATTAATGATAATAAGCAGGTCTGTGGTGGTGAATTTCATCATTAGGTTGTTGGTAAACATTAATTCATCTTGAGTACAGATGTTAAATTAGGAAGAACATATTATGTGAGGGAGTTTGTATGTGCTTTACCATCTCTCACTGCAGAAAATTTCAAGATCAACGAAGGTTTCAAACATACCCAGAAGTAGAGAGATTGGTATAGTAAATCCCCATGGACCATCACCCAACTACAACAATGACCAACTGATGGACACTCTTGTTTTATTAGCACCGCCTGCCCCCCCCACGCACCTGGATGACTTTGAAGGAAATCTAAGGCATCATCTGTGAATATTTCATTATATATTTCTATATGATAAGAGCTCTTTTAGGAAACATAATAACGTAATCACAGCACCATTAACAGAAATCGTTATTCCCAGTGGTCTCCAAAAATGGGTTTTTTTTAATTAAACAATTGATTTCTTGAATCACGATTCAGTATGGTTGATAAGCCTTTTCACATATCATTTTCTCTTCTTTCATTTCCCTTAGTTTATTTATTAAAGAAACCTGGTCATTTGTCCTATAGAGTTTACCACATTTTGTATTTGCTCATTGTATCCCCATTTAAGGTGTTCACCCATTCTTTGTATTTCTTGTAAAATGATAGTTACATCTAAAAATTGATTTGATGAAGTTTTGATGTTTTGGTAAAGCCAGTTCTTATCAAGAGCACATAATGTCTGATGATCATTACCTAGAACATTATTTCATTAGTTACTGATAAAATGGTGATATGCCAATCCTATCATTTCTTCTTCATTTATTTTCTCAAATATTTGTGTAGAGACCATTTGTCTCATTAATTACTTGGTTATCCTTAAGCAAAGTTTGTCTGGGAAAGACAGGCTTAATTCTTTTCCTTTATTTAATATCATCATAAGCCCATGGACTTCAACATAGTTGATACATTTCAGTTTAGGTGTAGATATTCTTGTGGATATTCAAACTGCCTTGTCTTTGAAGAGTGGGAGCTTCTTCAGTCTGGTTCCTAAGTTCTCTGGACATAACCCCAAAGTTAGAAGTCTTCAATAACTTCTTTACTTTCTGGTTTGACGGGGTGGGCTCACCTTTTACAAAACTTAGAGTCATAAATTTCTTCAAAAGAAATAGTAAAAAAAAAAATAGTAAGTAGAGATCACAATGTGGGCAGAAAATGTACTCATTTATAAAGGGTTGGTCAGTATTTCTAGGTTTTTTCCAGGGGACAGACTTAAGAATGATTTGTTTTTTAAAGGGTTTATTCTAATACCTGTAATAAATTGGATTGTATGGTTTTACTTAATTTCTTTGATTTTATGTTTGTATCTCTGTTTTTTGTTTTTGTTTTTCCCTGAATATCTTGATCCTTGAAGGCATGAACATAACTAACAAGGAAAAGGAAGAGAGAAGGCCATCTGTTTCTCGTCTTGGATGGTTCTCAAAGACCGTGGGGGTAGTTGTCACGGTTTTCAAGCCCTGAGTAGTCTTGTCCAGTGAGATGCTCAGTCTGTCTCTCCAGGCTTACTCTTACATTTATCTATTTGACATTTATTTATTTATTTAGATACAAACAAAATTAAGTTTAATAAAACCACGTGGATGAAGAAATTACTTCTTCAAAACTGACACAGAAGAAATTTTTGGCAGGAATTAGAATCACAGACATGGCAAGACCTTTATAGATCAGCCCGACCTTCTTTTTTGTACCAAGGAGAAACTGAGGCCTAATGCCCTGAGCAAACCAGGGGACTGAGGGTGCTTTGAGCCTGGATCTTCTTAAGCTTAATCCAGTGCTTTCCCTGACCCACTTCTGTGGGGTTTTTTGGAACACTTTTCAAATTTTTATTGAACACTTCCCAGTGGTTCTCATAGGTAGCTGGAGTGTCACTGATAGAGCTCTGGACATTCTAGAGTCTTATAAAAGCAGATAAAGTTCCAGTGACTAAGCTCACATACTAGCAATGGGATTTTTCCCTGAAGGAGAAAAAAATTACATGGGTTTGTATCTCAATAAAATTACAAATTACTACGAATCCAAACTTGTTTAAGACTAGATAGAAGCACCATTATTAAATTTAGGAATGCCAGTGGTGTGTTGTAATAAAATATCTATTATATATTTTCCAAACTTAAATTCTATAAAATAGACTTAACTAATGACCTCATCAGTGAAATGTGCATTGCCATTTTGCTCCATTTTGCTCCATTTTGCACCATTTTGTGTTTCTGTAATCAGAAAGGATTTGTGGCCACTAACATCATGGAAAGGGGCCTTCTTTTTTTTTTTTTTTTTTTAACATGGGACCTGAACCATAAAAAGAGAGAAGTGAAAGCTACATATAGAAAACCATATAATTTGGTTATAAACCATATTGGATATTTTTAAAATTCTCAGATATTTTTTGCCTATACAAAAAGTACTACTCTGTACTTCGTAGGATATACGAATGATTATGGTACAATTTTGGAGTGTAGCAGTCACTAAGTCTAGTGAGAGCAGACAGATACATAATCATCAGAATAGAAAGCATGACAGGATGCAGGCCTAGAGTGAAATATAAACTCCATTTTCTGGGGTAGTTTTAAAAGGTGCATGTTTTGACTGGAGAATCAATGAGAGGGGTGGCATTTAATGTGTGCCTCAAACAAGGTATAGATTTTCATCTGGTGAATAGGAGAAGGACTTCACATAATGAGGTATGTGCAAGAACCCAAGCATGAGGCTGAGAAGGAGCAGAAAGTGCTCAGGAAGAGCCTGGTCTGCAGAGAGGTGAGCCTCCAGCAAGAGACTGGGGCCGGATAACAGAAGACCTTGAATGCCATGCTGTGAAACTGGTTTTCTTGAGTTGAAATTCTTGTCATTCCATTCATCTGACATTCAGCGTTGAGAGTTTCATTTGGTGGACAACCAGATTCTTTGGAATTCCCTTACTTTTATTTATTTTTATTTTTTAAAAAAGAGTTATTTGTGAGAGGGAGAGAGAGAGAGATAGAGACAGAGACACCACACGAGGGAAGGGCAGAGGGAGAAGGAGAGAGAGAATCCCAAGCAAACTCCCCACTGAGCATGGGGCTCCACATGGGACTCAAAAAGGGGTTCGACCCCATGACCTCGAGTTCATGACCTGAGCTGAAACCAAGAGTCAGACACTCAACCGACTGAGCCACCCAAGTGCCCCTGGAATTCCCCTACTTTTAAAGGCAGGACAGTGCTCACAGAAGAGACAAAAGTGGCCTGTGCTTCCCCCTCTTCAACTGTGACTGACAGGCATAAGATTTTAGTAGTTGGTGAGTACAAAGTACTGTTGTAGCTTTGGAGAGGGACTCTAACTCTGCCTGGCACTATTACTGTGAATCTATCCTAGAAAGTTGACTGAACAGAGCTAGGAAGTTTACAAGGAAGATATACAAGGGAAAAAACAAAATTGATTTGGGTTTGTGTGTGCTGCATGTGAAGATTAAGATAAATTGGGTGGTGTGTGTGGAGGTAGCTAACACTGAGACTAGTAGAGCCTCCATGACTATTAGCAGAATCTGTTGAGAAAAATTTGGAAATAGGGCTCTGAGTTTCAAGAATGAGGTGCCGGCTAAAGATGTAGGTTTGAGAATCATTTCTATAAAGATGACAGGATCATGGACAAGAACAAGGTCTTCTAGAAAGAAAGTGAAGTGAGAATAGGACAAAGGACAGAAATTTAGGAGATGTCTACACTGAAGGGATGGATTAAGGAAGAGAAATCAGTGAAGGAAACCGAAATAGAAAAGAGAACACTGTTTTGGAATGCAAGGGAAGATAAAGCTTCCTGAAGAAAGGCATTGAATGAGGTGAGACGTTGGATTAGCTGTTAGTAAGTGACTGTGGAAGGATCAGAAGTGAGATGTGGAGGCAATAGCCAGATTTGAGGGGCTGAGAAGTGAATGGGAAATGAAGCCCTCAAACTTTGGCCCCTGGAAAAATCATCTTCTTTGAAGGCCCATCTCAAATGTCACCTCTCCTGTGACTCCTTTCCCAAGTTTTGTATCCCAAGATAATGAATTAGCCTCTTCTTATAGATGCTTTTGTATTACTCGAGCCTTTCTTTTTCAAGAAATTTCATAGCATTGCCCTTCATCTGTCTATAGACTCTGTCCCAGGTGAAGACTGGTCTCCTTGGAGTCAGCAACCTTATCTTGCTCATCACTGTATCCTGAGGTCTTAGCTCAGTGCCAGGACTAGTTGTAACTCAGTAAACATTTCCTAAATGCATGAGTTAGAAAAAGAAAGTAGTATTTTAGGAGAAGAGAAAAGATTTTGAGATAAAATAGGGTTGAGAGAAAGATCTTTAGAAAGAAGTAGCCTTGAGCATTTTCATAGACTGTTAAGAAGTCAGGGGAGGGGCAGAGATTGAGGAAAAGGGAAAAGAGCTAAGCAGGTGGTGGGAGGGAGGACGGATAATGAGGGGGTCAAGGGCACGGGTACAGAAAGAGGTCTGGAAGAGACGTGTCTTTCTTCCTCTGAAACAGAAGAAGAAGAAGAAAAGAGAGAGTGTAGTTTAACTTTGAAAGCAAGGGAGAAAAATTGAGCAGGCTTACAGTGGGTAGACCCTAAGGTAAAGGGGACAGGAGGTAACTGGGGGGCCAGAACCCAAAAGGTCTGAAACAATTTCAGATGGTATGACCAGGAGTCCTATAATCCTGGAGAGTGAATGAATCCTCCGGCCGTCCTGAGGGTCCGTGTAAACCTGGTGAAATTGATCTGTTTGACGCTTGCTCATTTGTATCCCATTTATTTGTGAACAAACATTTAAAAATAAGTATCAGTTGTATAGGTTGGCTTGTGTGTTTGTTTTAACTTCTCTCAAGGAAACAGCTGTGATGTAATCCAAGTATCTGTTGCAGATATTGGAAGTCATTTTGCAAACCATTTTGCAAAGGCCCTTTTCTGTTTGAATAGAAGTAGTCAGTGAACACACAGGTGGTTTACAGTGACTGGGGTCTGTTTTTACAGCTGCCTTTTTCTGTTATCATTAACCCGAGGTTTCATCTATGAACATTATCAGCATGACACGGGGGGACTGCTCTATGGCACGTCCATTTAGGTGAATCTTTTTAAGTCTGAGATGAGCTGTGCTAGGATTACTAAAGTCCCTCCCTCTCTTTTTAACTAGAGTTGGACAAGTTATAACCATCAAAGCAAAAGTTACCAGAGCATTCAGCACAAGCATGGAGGTAAGTGACCTCATTTCTCCTGACTATGGGTGCCCATCTCTTCAGAAGACAGAGGAGGAGTTCTGGAATAATTTGGAGTGAGATTCTGAATTTCAGAAGGTCCTTGAATCTGTGGTCAGGCTTATAGGTAAGTAATAAGGGCCTTGTGTTTCCCAGCCGACTCTGCTACCAAAATTCAGTGTGACGCCATGCACTATTTCCACAGAGAAGGGTACACAGAAAGTAAACATACAAGGGAGAAGGGCACTCTCCTGGTTCTTTGCAAAGTATGGTTTTATTTCTTAATTATTCTGACTCTCCTTGTTCTCCGTCTCTTCACCTTCTCCTGGAAACCAGCCCCATAATTAGCTAGTTTTTGAAAGGCAGAGTAATTGAAGTGAGAAGGGAAGTTTAGAAGATTTCTCTTCTACATCCACTTGGTTTTGATTTCTTTACTATAGTTGTGATAGCAACTATTTTCAGAGGCTTTTGGAATCGCTGTCCAGGTGAAACTAGCAGGAAAGGAGTTACTGGCTCTGATATTGCAACTTCTAGGTTGGTTAGTACCAGTCCCTTTGATCTCTGGACACAGAAGACAGGAAGGGATTACATTTGTTGGTTAGGCCCACAGTAACAGAGTCCCCACAGACTAGGTGGCTTAACCAACAGACATGTATCATGTCACAACTCTAGAAGCTTGAAGTCCTAAACCAAGGCGTCAGTAGGGTTGACTCTTTCTGAGGACTATGCAAGAGAATGTGCTCAGGGCTCTCCACTGGCTTCTGGTGATTTGCTGATGCCTTTGGATCCCTTGGCTTCTGCTCCATCAGCCCTATCTCTGCCTTCCTCTTCGCATTGTGTTCTCATGGTGTGTGTGTCTGCATCCAAATTCCCCCTTTTTATAAGGACATCAGCACATGGGATCAGGAGCCCCTCTACTCTGGCTCATCATAACCAATTACATCTGAACCACCCTGCTTCCAAAGTAAGGTCAGGTTATAAGGTGCTGGATTTGGTGGGGGACACCACTCAACCCATACTGCTCTTCAATAGAACTGTTTGGCAGTAACCCTCCCTACTTTGATGGCTTTACCCCAGTATCCATATGAACAGGACACAAAACACTTGAAATCAGAAGAGAAATGTTTGTGTTAAAAACCAGCTCTCTCAGGGCTCCTGGGTGGCCCAGTGGGTTAAGGCCTCTGCCTTCAGCTCAGGTCATGATCCCAGGGTCCTGGGATCGAGCCCCACATTGGGCTCTCTGCTCAGGGGGGGAGCCTGCTTCCTCCTCTCTCTGCCTGTCTCTCTGCCTACTTGTGATCTCTGTCAAATAAATAAATAAATAAATAATCTTAAAAAACAAAAAAAACGAAAAACCAGCGCTCTCAGCACCAGTTAGGACGGCGCTTTCTCAGCTGTGAGCCCTGACGTTTGCCCCATGGTAGCCACTGGGCTTGGCCTCTCTCCTGAGGGCTAGTGCTCTTCTTTATATTCAACCCAAACATGGATAACAGCTCCTTTTCCTCTGTCCTCTTCCTTCTATTCTCGGACACAAGCTAAATTTGCCACAGGGAAAAGCTACAGATAACACGATGCCATTTTGTCCACATTAACTTGGTTATGAAACCGAGAGACTGAAGATTTTAAAAAGTTGTGGCCCATCTCTCCAACAATCTACAAGGCATTCATGAGTATCTTGTTTCCAAAGCATATTCAGTAACAACGGGATTAGAAAATGCTTGTCAGATAATGCCGGTTTCTAAAATTACAGTATGAAACTATAAATGCAGTATGTGACTTTATGTGTGCTTTATATACATATACATAAAACTGGAAGAAAATTCACCTAAACATTAGTAATTATTAGTCTGGGTGGTGGGATTGCTAATAATATTTGCTCTGGATAATGAGATTCCATTTTTATCTATTTTTATGTTTACCAAACTCTCCATGGTAAATACGTATTTTTCTATAATCAGAAAAAAAGTTATTTTTTAATTTTATGGAACATCACTGAATGAATAGTGTTGCTTAAAAATAAATTAAAATGCTGATTTTATTCAAAAACAAAAGAATGATGAATTACATCATGGAATCTTGACTGCTGCAATCTCGTGTGTTATCTGGATGGCTGAACGTTTACTGATTTATTTTTCTTTTCGTTTTAGATCAGCATCAAGGTCATAGTCCAGGACATGTTGACCGGTATTGAGAAACTTGTCAGTGTGGCTTTCTCTACCTTTGTAGCCAAACCAGTTGGAGAAGAAAAGGTAAATTTTCTCTGTGAAGGAATGTCTAGCTTGTTACTCAGGGACATGTTAACAGTTGCATCAGAATTATTATGGACAAAAAGACCTTTCCTCTTACTGTGACATATGCTTTCCCAAGATTTGTCATCCACCCCTGTTTCTGTAAAAGTTGTCATTGTGTGGTAGTAGAGTATTAACGGACCTTAGATAAAGGGAGATAGATATAGCCAGTCGGTGAAAAAAGGAAAAAAACACCGTTTTAAATGATCTGAAGGGTCTGTCGTTTCTCAAAAATAGTGTTTACTGGTTTTGTTCTTTTCTTTTGTGGTTATATAACTCAAAATTGAGTTAAAATAATTTTTCTTAAAAGCAAGAGCGACGTAGTAAGCCGTTGCATGTTGTGGTCGGATTGTCTGTTTCTACCTGAAGGAAGAATGTCAGAGAGGCTGAACTAAGCTTCACAGCGTGTGGAATAAAAACAGCCTTCGAATAAACACGTTGTTCTGATACGTGTGCCCTGCGGGCTTGCCTGGCCATTGGCCAAGAGCAGCTTGTCTGTAGTCTCCTGGGAATTTACTCATTATGGTTTCTTGGCTTTCCTTTTTGGGATCAGGGTATCCGGGAGAGGATTCACATTTAGTCTAAGCAATTTTAAATGCAGACATCCAATTTGGAATTTAAATCTTTCAATGCAAGGAGCACTCCAGAGGTGGGTACAGTGGCTTCTTTCTCCTGGTTCTACTTCGAAGGGACAAGGAGGTCTTCTCACTCTACAAAAGCATTCTTCCTCAGAATGACTCCTACTCTAGAGCTGGGACAAAGCCATGTTTTCTGTGTTCCCAGCTTAGCAGCACTCACTCCCAAACTACTCCTCACCTGGGCCAGCAGGCAAAGAGATGGATGGGTGTGAGTTACTCCGCCCTATGCCTGGGTTGGTAGGTGTCCCTACAGACTTTTGTGCCCCAGGACACGTCTCCCAGTCCCTGTCCCATATGAGATATGCCACAAGCCATATTCACAGTGCCCAAGGACATTCTTTTTCAAACTGAAGTTCATATCAGCTATTATTTAAAATGCAGCTTTCTGGGCTGTGTTTCAGCTCTACTGAATGAGAATCACGAGTGCAGGAACTTGGGATCTGAACTTTGACAAAGCATCCCAGGTATCCTATGTTCATTAAAATCTAGGACATTGAGATAGGTCTTGCAAACCATCCTGTCTTTCCAAAATCTCCAAACCCTTGAGAAAGAGAGGACATGGGGGTGAGTGCAAGTGACAGAAAAGATCCTGCCTCTCCATCCTGTTCCATGTTCTCATTCTGACCTCAGGGACTCATGGACTAAGAATATAATAGTCTCACTTCAGTCTAGTCTCTGCTGAGCCTGAAGAACTGTTTTCCGAAAGTGGTTCTGGAAGGTTGATGCCTTGCAGTGCTACCATAGTAGGCTGGCTCAGGTAACCTTTATTGCAAAGCACCTTTCCCAGACTTTCCAGCTAGTACCATTCTTGTTCAGTGGCACATCATGAAGAAAGCCATGAAAAATCAGTGGTTCAGTCTAAAACAGCAGGCCGAGCTGCATCACTGTCCAAAGTGAGTTTATTCCAGGATGAGATCGTGATGAGGCTTAGTTGGTCAGTTGCCCAGACTGGATCACTGAAGGACTCACAAAACTCCATAGTGGATGCTTATGCAGGGCTTCACTAAAACTAAAAGAAATAGGATAGCAGGAGAGGGGGGTGCCTGGGTGGCTCAGCGGGTTAAAGCCTCTGCCTTCAGCTCAGGTCATGATCCCAGGGTCCTGGGATCAAGCCCCACATCAGGATCCCCACTCGGCAGGGAGCCTGCTTCCTCCTCTCTCTCTCTGCCTGCCTTTCTGCCTACTTGTGATTTCTGTCTGTCAAATAAATAAATAAAATCTTAAAAAAAAAGAGAGAGAAATAGGATAGCAGGAGAAAGAAAGCACAAACAGCAGAGAAGTTCAAGGCTTCTAGGCATAGTTCTCAGGGTCCTTTTCCTTTTTTTTTTTTTTAACTATTTATATTTTCATCATGATACAGGCTCTTTCTAATCCCCATCCCCTGTTTCACCCATCCCCCCCACCCACCTCCCTTCTGGTGACCATCAGTATGTTCTCCATATTTAAGAGTGTTTCTTGGTTTGTCTCTCTTTTTTGCTTTCTCATTTGTTTTGTTTTTTAAATTCCACATATGAGTGAGATCCTATGATATTTGTCTTTCTCTGACTTGTTTTGCTTAGCATTATAATCTCTGCCCTGTGCCTGTAGTTGCCAATGACAAGAGAGCATTCTTTATGGCTGAGTAATATTCCATTGTATGTGTGTATACCACATCCACATCTTCTTTATCCATTCCTCTGTCAGTGGACACTGGGACTGTTTCCATAGTTTGGCTATGTGTGTATGTATGTCTGTATCCCTCTAAATTAGTCTTTTTGTACTTTTGGGGTAAATACCTCATAGTGCTATTACTGGATCATAGGGTAGTTCCCTATTTAACTTTCTGAGGAACCTCCACACTGTCTTCCAGAGTGACTGTACCAGTTTGCATTCCTACCAACAGTGCAGCAGGGGTCCCCTTTCTCCATAGCCTGGCCAGCACCTCTTGTTTCTTATGGTGTTGGTTTTAGCCATTCTGACAGGTGCGAGGTGGTATCTCGTTATAGTTTTGATTTGTATTTCCATAGTTAGTGATATTGAGCATCTTTTCACGTGTCTGTTGGCCATCTCTATGTCTTCTTTGAAGAAACATCTGTTCATGTTTTTTGCCCATTTTTAAATTGGATTGTTTGGGCTTTGGGTGTTGAGTTGTATCAGTTCTTATATTTTGGATACTAAACCTGTATCAGATATGGCATTTGCAAATATCTCCTGCCATTCAGGGTTGTCTTTTAGTTTTGACAGTTATTTTCATTGCTCTGCAGAAACTTTTTATTTTGTTGTACTCCTAATAGTTTTGTTTTGTTTTTTAATTTCCTTGCCTCAGGAGACATATCTAGAAAAATGTTGCTATGGCCAATGTCAGAGAAATTACTGCTTGTGCTTTCCTTAAGGATTTTTATGGTTTCAGGTCTCACATTTAGGTCTTTAATCCATTTTGAATTTATTTTTTTGTATGGTGAAAGAAAGGGGTCCAATTTCATTTTTTTTGCATGTGACGGTCCAATTTTCCCACCACTGTTTGTTGAAGAGACTGTCTTTTTCTTATAGTATATTTATTCCTCCTTTGTCAAAAATTAATTGACCATGTAATTGTGGGTTTATATCTTGGTTTACTGTTCCGTTCCATTCATCTATGTGTCTGTTTTTATGCCAGTACCATACCGTTTTAATTACTAGCGCTTTGTAATATAACTTGCCATCCAGATTTGTGATACTTCCAGTTTTGTTTTTCTTTTCTTATTTCTTTTTAAATTTTATTTATTTATTTGGCAGAGATTCAGCTAGTGAGGGAACACAAGCAGGGACAAAGGGAGAGGGAGAAGCAGGCTCCCTGCTAAGCAGGGAGCCGACTCGGGGCTCTATCCCAAGACCCCAGGATCATGATCTGAGCCAAGGCCAGACCCCTTGTTTTTCTTTTTCAAGATTGCTTTGGATATTCGAGGTCTTTTGTGATTCCACACAAATCTTAGGATTGTTTGTTTTAGCTCTGTAAAAAATGCTGTTGGTATTTTGATAAGAATTACATTAAATGTGTAGATCGTTTTGGATGTTATAGACATCTTAACAATATTTGTTCTTCCAACCCATGAGCATGGAATGTCTTTCCATTTCTTTGCATTGTCTTGAATTTCTTTTATCAGTATTTTACAGTTTGCAGAGTACAGGTCTTTCATGTCTTTGGTCTGGTTTATTCATAGATATTGTTTTTGGTGTATTTGTAAATAGGGTTATTTTCTTAATTTCATTCTCTGCTGCTTCATTATTAGTGTATAGAAATGGAAGAGATTTCTGTACATTGATTTTGTATCCTGTGACTTAAGTGAATTTATTTATCATTTCTTTTTTGGTGGAGTTACTTTTCTATATCATGTCATCTTCAGACAGTGAAAATTTTACTTCTTCCTTACCAATTCAAATGCCCCTTTTCCCCTTTTGTTGTATAATTGTTGTGGCTAGGACTTTCCAGATTCCACTTTTATGTTGAATAAAAGTGGTGAAGGTAGACATCCTTGTCTTGTTCCTAACCTTTGGGGAGAAGCTCTCAGTTTTTCACTCTCAGAATCCTTTTCAGTTATACAAAATAGGCTCCATCTATAGATTGGAGAGCCAAGACCACCAGGTAGACTTTTTTACCCCACTGGTCACACAAATAAAACAAGGCTATGGAGTTAAGCCAGTATAAGTTATCACATCTGTATATCCCTAAACAAATTAGACAAGGCAGTCTACGGGAGTTTTAGACTTGAAAGCAGCATATTATAAATCACTGGCTGCTTCGCCTTCTTGGTGACGGGTCAGTACCAGCCTTCAGGTGTCCTGGAAATGAGCATGGAATTATCCCCATCCAGCCTCAAGGTGACTTCCCTATGCATACAGGTCAACAGACATGTATTTATGGGAGAGCTTGAGCCCTTGGTTGTGTTGCGTCAGATTTTTAAGTTTATAGAGGTCAGTTAAAGCTTTGTTCTGACCCTTTGATTCTTTTAGTTTGTTTATTAGATAATGCTTCCACCATGTGATGAAATTTCCAAATTAGAACTAGCTCTTAGTACTTGAGAGCTTTCTCTACAACATGTTTATTCCCTCCCTTTGAGATCTTAATTTTGCAAGGAGCAGAAAACATTTCTTGGTAGGAATTCAATGACCTCAAAGTCCCCACCTCGTTCATTAATTTGAAGAACTTTTTTTATTTTATAGCTTTTTTGAAAATTTTAAAAATCAGGGAAAAATATTTAGAAAACTCTTTAAAGCACATATCTTATTGTATGTAGAAATAATTAAGCCTATAATGATTTTTTTAGTTTCAAAATATTATAAGAAATAAATTTAGTCATATAATATGTGTAAAAATACCCAGAAAGGCTCTATTTACTTTGAGTTAGAAAACAATGTAACATATCATTTGTTTTACAAAACTCGTGTTGTCCTCTGATAACTTAACAAGGTAATGAAAGAGACGTGTTTATCTTTTTCGAGATTGATTTAAAACCAGTCACACTTCTAACTGAGCAAGATCACATGGAACATAATCTGGCTTCTGAGAGAAGGAAAGTTCGATTACATCATGAAGATACCTTTAAGAACTTGATGAAGGAAAATAGCAAGTTTGAAGGTCAGTAAGCCTATTACAGGAACTTTAATTACATGACTGTGACAAGTAAAGGGTCCTTTCTTCGAACACACTTCTTTTCACCTTATTATTACAATTCGGCCCTGGCGATGCTTGGTGTCTTCCCCCCAACAAACCCAATAGCCGGAGAAGGAAGGGCCTGGCCAATTCAATATGTAACCACTGACACCAAAGTCCTCTTTAAATGGGGGTTCTCCAGAGGAAGAGACAGGAAAGAAGGGTGACAGGGACCAGGCAGTCCTTATCGGTAAGAATGCGTTCAGTAGTGATCAACCAGTGAAGGAATGACAACACGCTATATCCGTCTGGTGCTTCACAGTTTACTAAGCAGTCTCTCATTCATTACTTCAGATGAGCTGGTTATAATATCAACAAAGGAGGAAACGGAAACCAAGCCGTACACACCCTTGCTAAAGGTCACAGGAAGCACTCTGATTCTATTCTTGCTATGAACAGAAGCGCTAAGTTTCTATTCCTGTTTCCTGGCTCTTCCCGTAACCCTGGGTTTGATGAGCCAGAGTGTCTTAGTTCTCCGGCTGTGGTCTCTCAGGCTCTCTGAGGCTTTGTGGGGCCAGAATGGCAAGAAAAAGAGGGCTGCCTTGCCTCTCCCCTGCCCTTCCTTTTCTTCTGACCCTATCTCCCGCAGCCCTAGGGGAGATGACCTACTGGGGAGATCAAAACGGTGAGGTTGGAAGTGGAGTGGTCCAGCTCCAGTCGCTCTGCTCACCACTGCCAGAGGGGCCAGGAAGTTCACAGAAGGTCCAACTCCCCCTGAGCTCCGAAAGCAGATCCCTGTAGAAGAAGAAGGAAAGGCTGAATACTTAAAACCATTTACATCAACATTAATGGAACTGGAGGGGATTATGCTAAGTGAAATAAGTCCATCAGAAAAAGATAATTATCATATGGTTTCAGTCATATGTGGAATATAAGGAATTGCACAGAAGATCACAGGGACAGGGAGGGAGAACTGAATGGGAAGAAATCAGAGAGAGAGAGAGAGAGAGAGAGAGAGAGACACAAACCATGAGAGACTCTTGACTCTGGGAAAAAACTGAGGGTTGTGGAAAGGGAGGTGGGTGGGGAGAGGGGGTAACTGGGTGATGGGCATTAGGGAGGGCACACGATGTGATGAGCACTGGGTGTTAACCACAAATAATGAATCATTGAACATTACATCAAAAACTAATGATGCTTTATATGTTAGATAATTGAATTTAAATAAAATAATAAAATAGGAATGGGATAAATCTGTTTAAAAAGAAAAAAAAAGAGGAGGAGGAAGGAAAGGAGATGAGAAAGTATCAGAGTGAGAATATTGAAAGAGAGGAAGGAGGAAGAGGACACACAGAGGCCAGAGGAGAGAGGAACGGCCAAGGCAGGGGCGACCTGGGTGGGTCTGCCCTGCGTGACACCATCATGGTCCTGGGACCACCTCACAGATGAACTCTGGTTTGGAAAAAAAGCTTTTCAAAGGTTTCTATTCTTGCAGACCTTTAAAAAGACAATGCTCATTACCAAGATAACTTTTTTTTAAAAGATTTCATTTATTTATTTGACAGAGATCACAAGTAGGGAGAGAGGCAGGCAAGCAGGCTCCCTGCTGAGCAGAGAGCCCGATGCGGGGCTCGATCCCAAGACCCTGGGATCATGACCTGAGCCAAAGGCAGAGGCTTTAACCCACTGAGCTACCCAGGTGCCCCCCAAGATAGCTTTTTAAAGAAATGAAGACATTATCATTAAATTACCATGCTGAGAAGAGTCCATCCTTTTGTAAAGATGGTATCGGCACCAAACTATACTTAAAATGCATTTTGCTAAAGTAATGAAATGGCTGAACCATGAAAGCAAAGGCATACCAGAGAGAAAATTCAAGGTGGAAGGAGGCAGGACATGAAAAGATAGGCCAGGCAAAGAGGCTTGACGTTTATTCTCTCCTTGAGGGAAGCCGATGAAGATCTGGGCAGGGTCGCATGATTAGGCTGGCACTGAATATGGTCACTCTGCATAGAGGAGGGGAGACTAGAGGGAAGGAGACCAGGCAAGGGGTGAGGGGCGGCTATTCTAGGCAATGACAGTAGAAAGGGGAGAGGGGAAAGGACAAAAATATGCAAGGGATAACAAAGCAGAGTAGGGTCGCTCATGTGGGGAGATGGGTGAGGAAGAAGAAGCTGTTCAGGGTAACTCTCAGGTTTCTGGTCTGACCACCTGGTCAGCTAATAGTGGTATCATGAACTGAGCTAATGCATATGAGGGCGAGGGGAGGGGCAGTTTTGAAGACGTGGATGATGAGTTGAGTTTAGTCTGACGTGCCTGTGGAACAACCAAAAGGACAAAATCAGGGTGGGGAGATTTCGTTTGAGACACAACAGCTGACATATGGTCATTCAGATGAAATAGTACCTATAGTCACCTAGGGAGGGCTCACAGTGGCACGAGGTTGGGGGACCAAGAGTGAAACTTGGAGCACATGGCCATTTAAGAGGTGATCAGAGGAGGAGGATCGATCTACAAAGGAGACCTAGAAGGACCAGTGGAAGGGGTGCAGGGAGAACCAGAGAGACTAGCATCGTTAGTCAGGGGATTAGAGTTGCATGAAGAAATGAGAGGTGAACTTTGTTCCAGAAAGTTAGGAATAAAAACTATCCATTGAACTGTGAATACAGAAGTCATTCTCACATGCTACAGCCATTCACATATAGAGGTAAAATGATTGTACTCGATTTCAGTTTCAGTTCATTAGGAAGCTGGGCAGATCACACTAGAGGTCTAGTTCAGTTTAGATTAGAGATTTTTAGAAGTCTGTTTTTATCATATTTCCTCTGATCTACCCTAAAATGGATTATTCCACATTCCTTTGCACAAAGCAACTTTGAACCTAACTTCATTGATTTGATCTTTTTAGAAAATTTACTAGCTTTCATGCCATCGAGGTAGCGTAGAACCTAAAAGCAATTTCTCTTAGCATCAGAGCCGGACCCTGGAACTTTAAGTTGCCATGAGGGCATGGTTTGTCTACATGCTACCTGGTGTATCTGGATGGAGTTTGTTTTGAACTGGACAACACCTTCTAAAGGAAGTTAGCTAGATCATCTTTGTTATTGAACCATGGTTTTAGAAAACCCAGGGTTCTACATTGATAGTAATACCACAACTAGTTGGAATCTCTTTCAAGATTTTATGTGGTTGAAATGCATATTGTTAGAAAGAAATTTGAGTCAAACTCATATACTTTCAGAAGAAAAGGTAAACAAATGAGATTAGATTATGTAAAAGCAGGACTTCTTTGGAATGTGCTCTTATACCCCTGGGTCATTGTTTAGAAGCTTGGCTTGTAGGAAAAGACTTCGTATTTGGAGCATTTTAATTATTTTTTAGCAAGAAATCTAATTTTTATGAGCATTATCCTGTGTTGATCCTTTCTGGTTATGAGAAGGAAAACTGGAATATCCTCAATTCAGGTCAAAGTTCCTGACACAAAATTGTACGATGAAGGCAAAAGTTGTCCAAGCAGAATGATGACACAGTTCTTAATGAACATCCAAAGTCCAAGTATTGAAATTGACCTCTGGACAAGTATGCTCTAATTTGGAAGCCTGCAGAAAGGGTGAAGTCTGTTTACCATACTTAACCTGAGTACACAGCCAGAGCTGTGAGCCTGACTTGGTCTCTGAGCCTGGCAGAGCCATATTTCTCCATTGATTGGCAATTTCCTACAAACAGGCTTCATTCAGCACCAAAGTCACCTGTACTCCGTCTATTTCTGCATACATGTCATCGCTGGTGCTTATGCACACATGACCTGCCCTAGTACCTACTTCTGTATATCCCCGTGGATGCCGTGGACGTCTTCATAAGAATTGAGTAGCTTTTTCTTTAAGGTTATCCCTTAGGAAAGAAGGAATCGCCTTATATTTGAGACTTCACAGTGTCTCTCATAATATAAGGCCTACTCAGTTTTAATTTTATAATTACTTTAAATAATTTAAACATAGGTAGTACACATGCACAGGGTGAAAAGTTCAAAAGGTACGAGACGGCATTCGGTTAAAAGGTTAAGACTTCCTACGATCAGTATCTCCCAGTTAACCAGTTCCTATCTCAAAGACAACGAATATTACACACACACACACACACACACACACACACACACACACACACTTGCTCTTACTTAGAGGCAGTATTCAAACAGCTATGCACCTTTCTTTTTGTCATTTAACATTGTATTTTAGAGATTGTTTATACTTATCTTGAACAAAAAAGTAAGAGATACTGACCTAAAAAAACTCAATCAATACTAGTTTGAGATAATAATAGGACATCATCTGACAAAGTCAGTAATAGCAAAAAAAGAGAAACAAAGAAGTTGAAAGGGATTGAAGGTTTCATGTACCTTTTGAAGACCACTTCAGGAATCATCCCAGTCCTGATGACGGCAATATGGCGGACTTGTATCTAGAACAAGCTTAAATTTCTGGATAAAATATTTACAAACATGTTTGCAAGCACATCTCAGCAGGCAGAAAAATAAGAGAAATCCTCGAAGTCCAGAAACTATTAGAAAACACAAATGCAGCAATGTGAGGAGATAGAAGAGCTGGCATTTGTTCAGGACTCTGTTGGTGCTAGAAGACCTAGAACTTGTGTGTTAATGGGCCTGCACAGAATCAGGACACAAAGCCAGCAGCCCATGTTACATGGAAGGTTGGATCAGAAAACCTTATATATAGCTGCAAACCTAAAAAAATGGTATTTTTGGTGAGTCAAGTGGAAAAATCCCAATTCACAGAGAGCTCTTGTAGGGATTTTTTCCTATCTCAGCAATAGCCCTAGGCAGAATGGGAAAAATATACAGAACAACCCCCCCCCCCCAAAAAAAACTGATTCCCTTCGAGAATTCAATCACAAGCACATTCTCATGTAGACTTGGTTTCAGAATTCACTTGATTGTTTGGACTAAAACAGACCCATGTCAAATTTAGGGGGAAGTGGGAAGTGGCACCATGTTATATAGTTCCCCCAGCTGATCCGTAGCCAAAAATGCAAACCCCTGGAGAAATGACTTTAAGCCCAGCTCTCAGGAATCCCCACACACATAGGTCCAAGGAATATGAACTCTTAGACAAACATCATAAAGGATAATAATAAATGCATCACCAAAATCCAGAGAAGAATTAGGCAATAGAAGGGGGCCCAGAAAGACTATAATTTAACTGCATTTATCATATAAAGAACACTAAGTAAGAATGTTAATGTATTTTAAAAAATAAAAGAGAATCAAAAGTATTAATCAGGAATAAAAAATTACCTAGAAGGTTTGACAAAGAAACAAAGAGAATTTCTATACAAAAATATATATAATAATAACAAAAATATATAATTATATATAATAAAAATATATAATAATTTAAATATAAAACTCAGTGAATGGATAAACTGCAGATAAGACAGTAACTGGAAGACAGATCTGAGGGAGTTACCAGAATGCAGATGGATTGGCAAAGAAATGAGAAATGTATGAAAGATTTGGAGACATAGAGAAAGGAATAAGAAGTCTAACATGCATCTGATCAAAGCTCCAGAAAGAATAAAAAAAATGGGAGAGAAGTAACATTTGAAGCAAATGATACAGACATTTCATTCAGAGGTAACAAAGTTTAATATACATGTGAAAATATGTTGGACCTCCTTAATCAGGGAAATGCAAATTATAACCAACACTAGATATTTCACACCCACAAAATTAGAAAAACTTGAGCCAACTACAGTATTGTCTAAGTGAAAATGTGGAGCAGTGGGAACGCTAAAAAATAACATACAGAAATGTAAATCAGTACAATCATTTTGTTACCTAAAAAGTTTCTGTTGAGAGCAAGAACTATGAATGTGGAATAAATCAGCACATGCATTCAATAAATATTTACCAAATGCCCATATTCAGAAATTATTAGAATTTGAAAAGAAAATCAGTTCCTGAACAAAAGAGCTTAGGATCTAGTGGGTCAGATAGTCAAAGATCACACAAATAAACATAAAACTATAACTGTGAGGGGCGCCTGGGTGGCTCAGTGGGTTAAGCTTCTGTCTTCGGCTCAGGTCATGATCCCAGGGTCCTGGGATTGAGCCCCCCATGGGCTCTCTGCTCAGCGGGCAGCCTGCTTCTCTTCCTCTCTCTCTGCTGGTCTCTCTGCCTCCTTGTGATCTCTGTCTATCAAATAAATAAATAAATCTTAAAAAAAAAAACCAAAAAACTATAACTGTGAAAGAAAGAAGATATGTGTGCAGGCTCCTAACAGTGGGAATTAGCTGTTAGGTCTGGGAAGGCTTTCTTGAAGAAAAGATGCCTGGGATTGGCCAATAGAGTACTGAGGAGGAAAAATTTTCCTCTATCCTATAAATTACTTCTAGCTGGTTTAAGAATTAAATGGTCATGAGACAGAGTAATAGGAGAAAATCAAACAAAAGTTAAATTCCATATATACGTGGGAGAGACCCAGAAAAACAATAACTCACTGAAAAGGCTGAAGCCATCACCTTAAATACTATCTTCAGCCAAAGACAAAAGATGATATTGGGGGTGGTGGGTCAGTTATGGGAGGTTACCAAGAAAAGCACAGGAAACAAGAATAAGGTTATTACACAGATATAAGCCATTGTCTTCTCCACTGATAAGTTTCTAGATTTCGAGTCATCCCCCTCTTTCTGGTACAGCAAGGGAAACATCCTTACAAATGGAAATTTTTCTTATACACCTAAATGTCTCTTACCACCCGCTAACTTCTACTGGGTTTTCAGAGCTTCTCTTGTATCTGTAGTTTCCTAAAAACAATGAGCCTGAAGAGGTACATATTGGGATGGCAAAATTTGCTCCCCTATAAGAGAATAGGAGGTAAAGGGAAGAAGGTGGTCTTGGCCAGGGGAATTGCAACTGACAGATAGAACAGCATATGTAAATGCCCTGGTGTTGAAGACAGTACTTAGTTATAGGACTGAAAAAAGGTCTCATAGCTGAAGCAAAGAGAGAGATTGAAAGAGAATATGATGGGGGTAAGATGGTAGGAGTGGCCATGGAGCTCACTGGGGATGGAGTGGTAGGCCTAGGCCAGACGAGAAAGGAAGGGCTTAGGGCCAAGGGATATGATGAAGTTTTAGAAAATAAGTGAGGTTGGGTGGGGTGAGGTCCAGAGCCAATGACCAAGAAAGAATTCTTGAGACATCTTTGGTGCAAAATGGTGGTTTATTAAAGCTCAGGGATGGTACCCTTCTGCAGAAAGAGCTACTGTCCCCGGGTTGTTAGGGGTAGCTGATTATATACTATGGGGTTGGGGAGGTAAGGAAAAGGGAGAGTTTGAAAGAACTTTCATATGCTAAAGAGGACCTACGGGATGCCAAAGGCCTTGTCATTGACAGGTTAAGGTTGTTTTTCCTTTTAGTAAGGCACTAAGAGTAAGACAGTTGAGAGCTTCCTGGAGGAATGTCTCATTCCTGCTATCACACATCCTTATCAATGAGCTTTAGTTTTAGAAGAAGTTTAACTTTATTTGCATTTCCCTCTGTCTCAGCCTCCCTCAATTTTATGGAGGGGAAGATGATGTTAGGGCAGGAACTGGAGTTATGGGTCTTTGGAAGTTAGGCTATTGATACGAAAGCCTCTTCCTGGTAAATCACTAGGACATTTGTAAACTGAGGTAGACTCAGGTCTTACAGGATTGTGATCTCTACAAGTTGACTATTTGTTTTTCCTTTCAGACAGCCAGGAGTGCCTGAGGAATGTCACATATATCCCATGGCGGGGGAGGGGGAGGGGGGGGGGTGGGGGGTGGAAGGGGTTTGGGTGGGTGGGGGGGTGGTTGTGTGATGTCAGCTTCTGCTTTGTCCTCAGCTTGCCTTCTGTTCCCTCATCAGAAGGATTTGGGCGTTTATACTAGGATGTTATAGGATCTTTCTGACATGTTTATAAGTAAATGACTGAAATGATCAGTGGAATGAAGAGGGGGAAAATGAAAAGACGATCAATTAATTATAAATCTAAAAATTTCATGAGAAAATGTAGCTCGTCATTGTAATCAGGCTTCTGAGTTATATGTGGCTGTGCCGAGAATGGCCCCATTCGCAGTTCCCAACAGCTGGCCAGTCTGTGCCTTTGGGCTGCCAGCCCGGCTCTCCTTCTGCAGCACAACTAGGATGGCACCCCTGATTTGTAAATCCTCCCCCATCCTCCTCAACAATGGCACCTCAGATTTAAGCCTAGCTGATGAGTCACTAGATGACACAGGAAGCATAATTGAATACATTTTACTACTTTGCAGCCAGAGTGAATGACTTCTCCATTGTTGAGTGTAAAAACCAATTTCTCAGTAAACGGAGCAGACACAATTCAAAGGAAGCAGAAGGACAGGCGAAGTACTCATTGTGTCTTTTCTGTTTGTGACTGCATTCATTGCAAAACAGTAACTGTGGGAGGCCACGTTCCCATTCTGAAGTTTATACTGGAGCAAACTATTCCGGATTCTCAGCGTTGGTGGCCCTTTATAGCTCTGATTCCTTTAATTTTAACAACCTTATGGAGGTATAATCGATGTACCACAAATGATAATTATTATAAATAATTTAATAAATAATTATGAATAGTTATGAATAATAATAATTATGACATACCATAAATTCATGTGTTCGTATTTGAAGTGTACAGCTTGGTAAGTTTTGAGACATGTGTACCCCATAAAACTATCACCACAATCAAGATAATAACGTCTCCATCAAGCCCCAGATTTTTTGCCTCTCCCCACCCCTCCTCCACTCCAAACAACTTGAAGTTTAAATGTGACTATTCTTTAAATCAACATTCCTGTGAACTGGAAGGATAGGTTGGAATACAATCTCTAAACGGGCCTTTCTGATCCATTATCTTATCCAGTTCCCTTTAAGTACCCACCATTCAGGAGAAAGTCACTCTGTAGAACGAAATCCATTTATTTCCTCAGGAGATTTAAGTCTTTGGGAATAATTTAATTTTTCTAACAATCCCCTGGGTTCAGTGTGCTGCTAGGAAGGAACAGCCATGGTCCCAGGTTGTGAGGTTCACTCCACCAGTATGTGTATTACATCTACCTTTCAGACCCCATCTGTGACGAAGAGGAAGGAATGGTTCCCACAAGTGGCACATCTGTTCAGAGCATTGAACTTGTCCTCCCACCCCACGCAAACCATCATGGAAATACATTTGGTGGCCAAATTATGGCTTGGATGGAGACCGTGGCTACTATTTCTGCAAGGTTCTTGGTTTTGACCTTTGGCATATGAGGTTGGGTTCCAGTGGGAAGAGATTAGAAAGGGTCTGAGTCCTGGTTATGGAGATAGTCAAGGAGACAGGGAGAGAAGAGTGTTGCCTTTTATCAAAGAGAAAAAGTAAGTCATTTACCCATTTACCCTACGATTAATCTGTCCTTTTGTTTGAAGGTGAATGTTTATGTTCTTGGTTCAAAAATAAAAATGAAATGACTGTTCTGATACTTTATTCTGAATTGTAGATTTTGGTCACGTAATCCTGAAACTCCCTGTAATGATAGTTATGGCACAGCCGATGCAGAATAGAAAGAGAGGACAGCCTTTACATTTAAAAATAGTCAAGTTGCAAACTTTTCTAAAGGCAGTTTACAAATAGGATTGACCTCTCACATCCCTGGTTACAATCATTATGGCCAGAGGATTAACTGAAAAATAAGACGAGAAAGAGAAATTTGGAAGAAAACTTTTAAGTACTCTTCAGTTTCAAAAAAAGGCATTTTATTCTCTTTTTTTAAAAGATTTTATTTATTTATTTGACAGAGAGAGGGAGAGCAAGCACAAGCAGGAGGAGGGGCAGAGGGAGAGGGAGAGAGAGAAGTAGACTCCCCAGCTGAGCCAGGAGCCTAATAGAGGGCTTGATCCCAGGACCCTGGGATCATGACCTGAGCCTCAGGCAGACATTTAACTGACTGAGCCATCCAGGTGTCCCAAAAGGCATTTTATTCTTAATGGAGCCATGTAGGCAACTGAGCAGCTTTAAGGAACATTGTGTTGTCTGAAAATGCATTTGAACAGGAATTGTCCTACCAACAATTTTTGTAACTGTTGAAGATTGTGAAGATCTTATTTTCCCAAAGTTAAAAGAATTTTATTGTGACTATGTCTATAATGGTGACAATAGTTAGAAACCTGTAGAAATCCTTTTTATAAATTATGCACAAATAAGAGAGCTCGTTTTAAAAATGAGATTGTCATTCTCAATGACAATAAAGTATTTGAGCCTGTTCTATTGTAAAGGCTTACAGTATAATTAAGTGTGGCAGAGTGTTCACTCGGTGTTGGCACAATTCCTCTGAGTAACTGAATGACTACATTGGGAATCTAAAATGTAGAAAATTATCAAAGTAACTCTGAGATCAAATATACTTTATAAATATTTCAAAATTTCACACACACACACACACACACACACACACACACACACACACACACACACTCATTGTAAAATGTGTACCTGGTAGCCCTTCAGGCTTTGTGTAGCAATCCAGGTAATTTTCCTGTAGGGAAAAAAAAGGGGGGGGTCTTTTGCTACATGAGTAAATTCAGTTAACTATGAAGCGAAGGAACTAGTGTGAACCGTACGAGCTGGCATTTCCTTCCCTCTGTCCCCCTTCTAACCTGGGGGTCACAACTTCCTGTGATTGTGATCACAAGCTATCCACATGAACAGAAACCTCAGATGAGAACCAAGACACTGACTTGTTTTTCAGGGGGACTGTTAGAGGGAAGACAACAAGAGCAGGGCTGTCACCACAAGAGCAGAAGCACAAAGCACCTCGGTAAAGATCCCACAGCTCGGGGACATGGTCTTTCCCAAAATATTTGCGGGCTGTGTATGGACTCTCTCCACATACATCATCTAGTCATTTCTTAAAAGAGTTAAAAGAGACGTTTACTTAGAAAGCACATCGAATATTCATCGATTGCATGTGTTAAGCAAATCAACAGCTCATGAAACTACATTGAGAGTGAGCGCTGTCTCCTCTGTCTCTCCCCTTTCTTTCCTCAGACGCCTCTGTCGGGCACACCCCCTTCTGAAGTCTGTGGACATGTTTAAGTTCCGGGGACCGTCTACTGTTGGAGATCGGCTTGTTTTCAACGCCATTGTCAACAATACATTTCAGACCTGGTAAAGTCCGCCTAGTGTTCTTAGGTGGCTGTGAATGAATTCAGACTTGCACATGAATAATTTTTTTATTTTTCTTTCTATCTGGAGGTGAGTGTAGGAACTCCTGCAAAGTAACCACATTCCTTCTAATTGTTTTTTTGAAACTTCACTCAGTCGTCAACATCTGTACACACTCATTTTCACCCTCTTTGCTGCTTGGAGCCTCTTTGTACTTGATAAATTGTGGTGGTTTGGTTTTTGTCTCTTAATAAGGGTGACTCCCAGCTGGCCCAGTATGGTCTTGGTATTTCCCTGTCATTATTAACTCTTCAATTCACTCTCGAAAGAGTCCCAGTAACTTCATAGTCAACTGACTCATAATGGACCTGCTGTTTATCACCAAGAAGTCCAAACCACTTCGCAGTTATTTTTACTATTCTTGATACACAAGGAAAATATTTAATTTGGTATTCTTTCTTTTAAAGTGTGGAAAAGAGTATCTATGTTTCCTATCCAGTTTTAGTGTCTGATGCTTTTTAATGTAGAATAGTTGTTTCTAGGGGAGAAAACTTGACTGTGGTCCAGTTAACTCCCAGCCACATCACTTTACCAAAATATATTCATGAATGTGTATAAAGTCCTAACCGGCCTTTTTCCCACTTGATGGTGGGAAAGTAAAGCAGAAATGCTACCAGGGGCTACAGCATCAGATCCGTCAGCCTGATGAAGAAGTTTTTAACAGTTGCATAGATTTGCGACGGAGGAGAGAGAAAGCCCAAGGCCGTCATTCTTTTTCTCACTTGGAAGAGAGTAGTGGTGGCGGCCTCGGGTAGAGGAGGCCTGGCTCTCTCGGGTTCTCTGCCCACTGCCCTGTGTCGCCCTCTGCAGTGTGGAAGTGGGAGTGCGTGTGGAAGCCTTTGACTGTCAGGAGTGGTCTGAGGGCCAAGGCCGGCACATCAACAGTGCTTTTCTCATTTACAATGCTGTCGATGATAAGGAAGAACTGGTCACATTTCCCAGAATCAAACCCATGTCAGAGGTCAGTTATTAGCACGTGAGTTTCAGTAATCAGATCACTTCCTGGGGGGGAAGTGGTAGGTACAGAGCTCCACCCAGAATCCCCTCACACCAGTAATGCCTTTCAAGGCTATTCCTCTTTGGATATTTTTTTTTTCTTTTCTACATCACAACGTAAAATGGACTTTTTCTTTTCTTTCTTCTTCTTTTTCTTCCCCAAGTCACTCTGATCATTTGTTGGAATGACAGAGGCCCCGGAGACCTCACCTCTGCTCAGCCACGTGCTGCTGTGGGCAGTGTATCATCTTCTGGGTCGTACTTCTGATTGTCTTCTCCCACCGCTTTACATCCGATTCTCTCTGCTGTCCCACGCCCAGTGGAACTCTATCTTCCCCTTGGTGCCAACTCTCACCTTTTCTACAAACTCTGCAGTGAGACATAGGTGTCATTTTAGGAACAGAAATGATAACCACCACCACTTTAAAAAAGGAGAGAACAGGGCTGTCAAGATTATGTTTTTATCCATGCCCCTGCCCTTTGTGGGTGATGAGGACAGTTCACACAGAGACTGTGTGTGTCCCAGCTAGCCCTTGCAACAGAATTAGGAGAGACTTAAGAACTACAGCACTAAAATATTAGAAATTTATTGATTTTCCTTTGTCTTTTATAAAAGGAAGATTTTAGACGGTATCGTGGAGCTATTGCACGCAAGAGAATTCGCCTCGGCAGGTAAGGATGTGGATGTAAGGATTTTATGCTATCATCTCTTATCTAACAAATTATATAACAAAGGGCTCCTCTCTGGGTCTGTGTTCCCACATAATGTCAAATGAGAAGGTCTGATGTTTCCTGGCTGGAGGCTAACTGTGACGGAAATTGTTCTTCCTGATTGTTCCACTAATAAAAGCAGCTTTTAAAACTGTTGATACTGGCCCAAGAAAGTGTCATGGTTACTATTGTGTGCTGCATGCCGGGAAGAAAACTTATTTATTATTAAACATTATTATTATAACATGTTACTTAACATTTTCTTTTTTTTTTCCAGAAAATACGTTATTTCCCACAAAGAAGAGGTGTCACTCTGTGTACACTGGGACATAAGCAACCAGGTAACGGTGTTATTATTGGGAGCTCTTTGTGTAAGAATCAAGTCATTATAAAGCGGAAGATGGCATCATTATAAAAATGACAGATCCCATGTTTAACTGATTTAGGTTGTGCCTGCACAGGTTAGAGGAAAAGGAGCATTATATCAACCAGTCCTTTCAAAACGAAACAAAACCAATCAGTAAGCAGTTTCCAAAGCACAGACCCCGAAGGCTCTGTCATGGGATGCATTCAGGCAGCGTGACCCTGGGATCTGACTTCTCAGTGATTTGTGCTGAATGCCATGCCTTCCAGCTTGCATTTTTATGATACAACAACAAAAGTATTGGGCATTTTTTTTTAAGATTTTATTTATTTATTTGACAGACAGAGATCACAAGTAGGCAGAGAGAGAGAGGAGGAAGCAGGCTCCCCGCAGAGCAGAGAGCCCGACGCGGGGCTCGATCCAGGACCCCGGGACCATGAGCCAAGCCGAAGGCAGAGGCTTTAACCTACTGAGCCACCCAGGCACCCCAGTATTGGGCATTTTTAAAGTTTTTGACCATAAAATAGAAAGGGAAATACAAATTTACTGATGACATTGTTGGGTTCATAATCATAGGAGCGAGACTGATACAAAGCAAAGGTCAAGCAAAGCTTTATATTGCGCCAAGCACTGAGAATCAAACTGACCGGCCAGGGCCATCGCTTGCAAAGAGGCGACTTCTCTCTGCCTTACAGACTAGCTTTTAAGGGCAAAGGCCATGTGGTTGGGCCTGGCCACGCACAGGTGGCCAATGAGATTGTAACACAGAGAAAGCTGCACAGTCATGCTAGGTCACACATAAGTGACCAATTGAATCACAATTTACACTATAGTAGATATTTGAACTAGCCTATCACCTTGGTCAGAATTGGCACCCAAAAGGCACCCAAAGGGCTGGGCCCATACTCCTTAGTAGCTAGGGGGACAGTATGGGCCCCCACTGATTGGATACCTCCACCTGGCCTGATCCACCCTTGTATTTGGGCTTTGTTACCTGGGACTGGTTTCCCGGACTTGCTTTTAAGTAAGTTCCCGGGGGGGGGGGGGGGGGGGGGGGGGGCAGGGTCAGTTTAAGTTTTACTGCATAAACAACAAAGTCATTGTTTAACCGGATGGAATCGGATGGAATCGCTCTGGCTAAATAGGCCCTTACAACATGTTGATTCCAAGTCCTATTGAAAGGTAATGTTGTCTTTCCTCCGGACACCCATTGATGTGACGGACACTAATTTGCAAAGCATGCAGGCCTTGTGTTATTTTGTCTGAATTCTGAATTAAGAGTTGGGAGACAGAAATTATGTTACCTATAGCTTAGTTCTAAGCTCAGCATTACCACTTTGGCTCTAACATTTCCTATTTTCAAAGCAGAAGCTATTTGATCACCTGATGCCTGGATGGCTCAGTCGGTTAAGTGTCAGCCTTCGGCTCAGGTCATGATCCCAGGGTCCTGGGATCAAGTCCTGCATCGGGCTCCCTGCTCAGCAGGGAAGTCTGCTCCTCCCTCTGCCTGCTGCTCCCCCTGCTTGTGCCATCTCTCTCTGACAAATAAATAAATAAAATTATTTAAAAAAAAAAAAAGAAACTCTTTGATCCCATATCTGTGGGTTGAACTCTCAGCTTTTATAATATTTGTATTTTAGGGAACCCTGAGTAATGCCAATGTGGAGGCTCTCCAGAATCTGGCAGCCAGAAGTGGTTGGCAGGTTACCAGTGTGGTAGAAAAGGTAGGAGGCATCTGGGTTTACACACAGCCCACTGTCCCTCACAAATGAGAGTGGTCATGGTGGTGGTGTTTCTGCTGCTCCTGCTGCTGCTTCTAAGAAGGTAAAAAACTTTTCTGGGAGACTTTTTCTAAAAGCCAAATATCTTTCCAGCTCTGTCTCTAGTCCTCCATGCTTGTGGATTTGGGGTCCTTTGGTGCACCCTGCATATTCCTGCCTCTGATCTTAGTTCTCATACTCCACTTCTCTCTCCTTCTCCTTGCCATCAGCCCCCATATGAACTGGTCGTTAAGCCCCAGGACAAAATTCTTCTGCATGAAGCCTCTTCTGTCACCCCTGACTGCAGAACTCCCCTGGTAGGAACCCTCTTAGCACTTACTTCTTCAGAGTGAATCTGTCAATTAATTATGCACCGTCTTGTGGCATTGCATCCACAGCTATGCTGAATTGATGTTGAGGTCTTACATAGTAATTTAACTTTCTACTCATGGTCTTTCCCCCTACCTAGATGATGAATTTCATAAGAAAGAAGCCTCGTCTTGACTTCTTAACACTTTTTTACATTGCTTTGAGGATCATCAAACCTAAATGCACACGTATTATTTTGGTTCTGATTTTATCAAATTTCAGAGGTATGTTAGGAGACCATGGCAGGTGGTGCCCACACTAACTAGACTGTAAGGTCACCAGCATAAATAGTCCCAGATTGCAGCAGTCCCAGATCACACCTGGGAGGGGCTCAGTCATACCAGCTCTCTATGCTCACATCCAGTGTGTACTGGTTTTTTCAGTGAAGCAACAGCCTCTACGATGGGGTGACCATAGGTCCTAATTTCCTGGGACAGTCCTGGTTGTCCCATCTTAATTAGTGATTGGTCCATCATCATCAGTTGTCTTATCATAATTACTAATAAAGCCTCCATGCCCCAGTCTGGACAATAAATGACATGGTCACTTACCTTAAAATTGAAGCAAACTCAGATACGACTTCACTGATTCTTTTAAACTCTGACCTCTTGCCAGTGTTTTGTTCTGGGTTGTTGGCTTTTATTATGTCTTTGTCTTCACTTGTGAGTCCTTTCAAGATCTCCCTTTACCCTCTCTGGATCCAATTCTGTTTCCATGCATGCCTAATTCAGTGATGCAAAAACATAGGCTTCGTGTTATAAAATGCTCTTTTTCTCTTTATCCACATAAAAGATGCTTCAAGACTTTGCTTTCTTTTACTAGTATGAAATCTGCTTCTTGCTTCTAAGAATTCTAATCTTCTTCTTGCTGGCTTCTAAGGAGCATTGGAAAGGGCAAACATGCATCTGGAATGAAGGAAGACAGCATGTTTTGTGAAGCCATATAATATATAAAAACTTCAGTTCTTTGGGAGTTTGGGGCCAAAATAAACCTAAACAAAAAAAATGCTGCATTTGTTAGTGTCTAAGAAGAGCCATTAATATTTAATTCTTAATTTTTGGACAGATACGTATTAGGAGGTGTGATATAATCAAAGCAACATTCTTACATCATTTCTGTTGAATTTGAAGCCCTCCAGTTCTTTAGATTATATTTATGATAAAACTTGGATTTTTTCCAGTTCTAGGCTATCCTCTTCTCTCTTACTTTTTAAAACTTTTACATTGTTTTGATTTTAAAATACAGCTCTCTTTTTTCTATCATCTTTTCATTGAATAATTCTTACACTGTCTGTTGTGAATCATACTTATTCCAGGTTTTAAAATCCACACTTATTGTTGGGCAACTCTCTCAGGTCCCCTCTCTCCTGCGGAACTTTGTACTATCACTTTGCTATCGCTCAATATATCTTGCTTTGCTGCCCACCAAAAAAAAAAAAAAAGAAAAGAAAAGAAAAAAGAAAAAAAATCTATACTTGTTGATACAAATTAGTTAAATGTCAAAAGTCTATGATTTCTGGCATTTGTAATTAAGTTGGATAATACTTATTCTTGTAACTCATATTTCTATGTACAGTGATGGAATTAATAGTAATAATGCAAGGGACAAAAGTAATACAGGCAGCACCCTCACCCTAAAGGAGCTTGTGGACTATTTTGGCAACATCACACATACCCACGCAACAGCAGAAAAATGATTTTCAGGTAGCTTATGAACAAGTGGGAATTTGTAGTATTTAAATCATTAAGATCAGCTCTTAGGCAGCCCAAAGTAAAGCAAGACAGATATTTAGAGAAAATTTTGGAGAGGGGCTCATTCTTTCCTCCTTGCAGATAGCTTATGTAGATGCTGGAGGGTGGAAGAGGCTGTCCGGGAAGTGAGCAGCTCCGGCCAAATCCTCAGGGTAGGAATCAGCATGGCTAGAAGACTGACTTGACAGAGTGATGATGATGAAAGCCAGAATGGCAAGGACTGCTTGAAAACTTTTCCACGGAACAAAACCCAGCACAGAAAACAGACCAGAGGACACTATTCTCACTGAAGCTGGGGAGGAGCTGGTCCCAGAGCCCCAGCTGTCCAGTTCTTTTCCCCTGAGCCCTTGGGGTCATTCCCCAGGCACCTCCTAGGAAGGTTAGCCTCCCCTCCCCACCGAGGTCTCTGTATAAAATGATTTTGTCCTCCTTCCCATAATATTGTCTCAATAACAAGAGAGAGTGTAAAACAGATAGTATAAAATTCCAAGATTAGATCCTTTTCTCTTCAGCTGTTTGTAGAAGATATCCAAATCCATTAAACAGAATCTTATTAGAATGAAAAAAACAGTATCATTATGAATTGTTAGAAATTGCAAGCTTATTCATTTTAAGCTTCATTTCATAGAATAAAATTCGCCAGGCATCAAGTGATAAAAATGTTTGAGTTGGTTACAGATGGAATTTAACCTGTGTTCTTCTGAGCGTGAAAGAGAACATGTTCTCTTGAAGAGTTGGTCTTGGAGAATTTTTTTTCACTCAGTGGAAGTTGGCTTTTCTAAAATACTAGGGTTTAAAGAGATCAGCACCTACCGCCACCCTCCTTGTCAGCTTTGTCCACATCGGTGCTGCTGATTCTCACGGCACAGCGATGAGGAGGACTTTCTGCTACGTTCACCTTCTAGGGGAAGGATTGAGATCCCGTTCACTCGTCCAATGACGTCCTTGGTGCTGGATAGGTTTAGTGAGCTCTGTCAGGACAGAGGTTAATGGTGGCTGCTCAGCTTGGGGTTCACTGTGGCTTCAGGAAGCAGGAAACGTTGTGTCTACAGCCCGGGGAGCAGCTTCCCGGGACAATGCTGTGACAGTTTCCTTGGGCTGCTGTAACAGTACCACAAACCAAGTGGCTTAAACCACAGAGAGGTATTATCTGTAGTCCCGGAAGCTGGATGTCTGAGATCAACGTGTTGGTAGGCTTGATTCTTCTTGAAGTGGGAAAGGCTGTGCTAGGCCTCTCCTCTCGCTGCTGCTGCTTTGCAGGCAATCTCTAGCAGACCTTGGCTTGTCAATGTGTCACCTGATTTCTGCCTTCATCTTCCTATGGGGTCCTCCCAGGGTGCACGTCTGCCTCCAGATTTCCTTTTCGTCAGAATATTAGTCATTACTGGATTGGGGCCCACCCTCCTACACTTTAACCTCATCTTAACTAATCACACCTGCAGTGACCCTCTTTCCAAATAAGGTCACATTCTGAAGTACACAGAGACCTGAAACATAGGAATTTGAGGAGATCCACTTCAGCCCTTAGTGAGGGCTCAGCCCTAGATTCCATCCCTTTCCACCCTGACTCCATTAATGTAGATCATGGCTGCCCCAAGGCCTAAATTGGACAGAAGGTAAGGAATTCACCCAGGCCACCTGCCCTTACCTCCTCTGAGACTACAGAGCCCCAGACTTAGGGCCACACGGCCTCGGAGTTCTGAGAAGACGACTTCCTTCAGGATTTACACCAGGGACCCTCCTTTTACTCCTGCCGTACAGGGAGTAAAGGTAGGCATGGCTGTGCCGGGGGTGAGTGTCTGCCACCAGTTGAGCCCCATTCATGGCTTTCTGTTTGATACATGTCCACAGCCCAGGACATGTCCTCCTTTGTGTGCTTAGTTTAAAGACAGTCTTGGCACGGAGGTCAATTGGGAAGGTAGAATGGTGTAAAAAGATAGCCACTCCTTTTCTTTCTAGGCTGCCTTTAGTCAATTTCTTATTTCTTCATTCTCCTCTTGAAGATGTTTATGTTTAAATAAAGGTTTTCTCCCTCACAGCCTGACTTGTCCATCTGCTTGATTCCTGCAGTGAAGTCTTAACCCTCTGTTTGTTTGTCTTCTCACAGCTTGTTGCCATGGGGATGATTATAAGATGGCACATTTCAACACGAACTTCAAAGCACCCTGAAAGAGATGGAGAAAATGGGCAGGATAGAAATGTGTTCCTAGCTGAGCACATAGCTCTGATTATTAGCAAAAGTGCAACAGCAGGAGAGTTTGTAGTAATAGGGGATACGTTACTGTTTATGTCAAATGGCTCCCAAGACAGGCGTCCTCTTATCTAAGGAAAAACAACATTAGAAACCCAGGAACTGGCCTCTCAGGAGGATGGGCCCTTGAGATTCACAAATGAAAGAACGCTTTGTGCTGAAGAAGCGTGGTGCTTCAGCAACCCTTTTGGAAGGTTGAGTTGGTTCTGGAGGTGGGTGGCTTGCTTCCTGGGTCCCCTTGGCATGCTTGACATCCTAGGAAAGTGTCTGAGGTCCTGGAGGGAGGTGAAGCACTGACTTGCCTATCAGCCCAATGCTGTTTCTCTGGTGTTGCTGGGTAGAGGCAGGGAAACATCACAAAGAGATAAAAAGAGAAAGGCTTACATTTTTTCATTTTTCAAGAGAAAACTTGTTGCACAATAATTAAATAACCCAAGTCCCATATTATTTAGAGGACGCAGAGGATAACGTCCTGGTCCAAGTTCTAGACACACAAGCATTTGAAGTAACATTGCCAGTGTCTGGCTTCATTAGTTATTCAGGTGTCAAGATGCCTTAGATGGTACAATCAACGTATGACTCTGTGTGGTTTTTAAAGTCGAAATATCCATTTTTCTCTTGTAATTTTTTTGCTTGTTATTATCTTTTAGATAAAAATATATACCCTGGAAGAGCATGACATTTTATCTGTTTGGGTTGAAAAGCACGTGGAAAGACCAGCACATGTGGCTTATCATCTCTTGTCTGACTTTACCAAGAGACCTTTGTGGGACCCCCATTATGTGTAAGAATTATTTAAAATATTTTCTTCAATGACATCATGTAAAGGGCAGCCTCCATATTGCAATCCATCTCCATTGCCCAACATAGGACCCATTGTTTATAAGTTAAAGAGTATATTTTAAAACTTGCACTGCACTGAAAACTGCATCCCATGCTAGTCATTTATTTATCATTTCTATCGAGTTGACATGCTTTACCCACATCTGGTGTCATCCTACCAACAATGCCACACTTGGTATTATTTCCACTTAACAAGAGAGGTTCTGGGGCTTGCCAAGATTGCTTTCCTAAGCAACGGAACCTGAATTGGAACCCAGATCCATCAGGCTCTGAATTGCACACCCTTGTACTTTAATATACAGTTTTGTTGCTCTTGAGGAAGTGTTTGTCAAAATTGTCCTTCCCACCTCCCTCTCTTGGTATTTGATGAGGGGTTCCTCCTTCTTTCTGTGAAGTAGCGTTCCCTGGTGAGAAGCTGAGGGGCAGCTGGATGATACTGAAGTCAGAGGCATTCTTTCCTGCTTTTCCTGTCTGATCAGGGCCCGCTCCTATCAGCCTATATCTCTTCCTGCTGTTACTTCCTGACTCCTGCAACCCAATCCAGTCTCGGCCTTTTTCACCTCTTAACTGGAGTACAGGCTGTGCACCTGGCCACCTGCACCGGCTGGGTCTGATTGCACTCAAGCCATGCCCATTCCTCCTCCGAGGAGTCCCAGCTCTGGGGCCATAGAGCCCCAGCTCCTGGGCCCTCACTGGGCGTCTTGCTGAAAGGAGGGGATTGGTGAGATGGGCTTCCTGTTATATCATGCATTACGATTTACTTCCTAATCTTGATGAGATGGAGGCTCATCTTTAAAATGGCTAAACTTGGGATGCCTGGGTGGCTCAGTTGGTTAGGCAGCTGCCTTCGGCTCAGGTCATGATCCCAGCGTCCTGGGATCGAGTCCCACATCGGGCTCCTTGCTCATCAGGGAGCCTGCTTCTCCCTCTGCCTCTGCCTGCCATTCTATCTGCCTGTGCTTGCTCTCTCTCCCTCTCTCTCTGACAAATAAATAAATAAAATCTTTAAAAAAAAAAAATAAAATAAAATGGCTAAACTTGGGTGCCCAGGTGGCTCAGTCATTTGAGTGTCAGCCTTTGAGGTTCGGGTCGTGATCTTGGAGTCCCAGGATGGAGTCCCCCATCAGGCTCCCTGTTTGGTGGGAAGTCTGCTTCTCCCTCTGACCCTCTTCCCTCTCGTCTCTCTCTCTCTCTCTCTCAGATAAATAAATAAAATCTTTAAAAAAAAATAAAATGGCTAAACTTGATTATGATTGACACCCTGCATTAGACAATTTTTTAAAAGATTTTATTTATTTATTTGACAGACAGAGATCACAAGTAGACAGAGAGGCAGGCAGAGAGGGAGGTGGGGGGCAGGCTCCCTGCTGAGCAGAGAGCCTGATGTGGGGCTCGATCCCAGGACCCTGGGATCATGATCTGAGCCGAAGGTAGAGGCTTTAACCCACTGAGCCGCCCAGGTGCCCCTAGAGACAATTTTTTAAAAAGATTTTATTTATTTATTTGAGAGAGAGAGATAATTAGAGAGAGAGAGAGAGAGAGAGAGCATGAGAAGAGGGAGGGTCAGAGGTCAGAGGGAGAAGCAGACTCCCTGCTGAGCAGGGAGCCTGATGTGGGACTCAATCCCAGGACTTCAGGATCATGACCTGAGCCGAAGGCAGTAGCTTAACCAACTGAGCCACCCAGGTGCCCCTGCAATAGACAATTTAATATCACTAAAGTGAAACACCTTTGGGGTCATGGGTTACATTTGCATAGATGCCAAAATAATACATCATGGTTGGTGCTATCGTAATAAAAGACTCTGAAAGAAGAGGAAACACTTTGCAGTTTTCTTCCATCAATATTTGTAGGTACTCTACAAGTACAAAGCTTTTGTCAGGAACAATGGTTAAATTTGGTATTAATTCATTTCAAATGTTTCTTGCACTGTTTTCTAGGTCACCTGACTTTCCAAAGTGAACTTGAATGAATAGATGAGTGAATGAATGAATTCTAATTCAACTTACTTGTCTTGTGTACCTGCCTTAATTCAGTACTGTGCCAGGTGTTTTCATTTAATCCTCACCACAACCCCATAGTTATTATGTATATTTTACAAATGAAAACAAAAATAAAGTGACTTGCCTAACATAACGTAGATAGGAAGTGTACATTTGGGATTCAAAGACAGGTTGTTTGACTCTGAACTTGGTGCTCTTTCCAGGAGACCATATTCCTTTAACAGTCCTTCTTTGATGACTGTCCATATAATTTGCTACTCTTCAGATGTTATTATTATTATTCAGAAATAATTTTGTGGAAAACAACTATAAATGCCTTTCTCCAAAGTGTGGAGGGCAGTGACCTTAGAATCACACGGCCACCATTCTCTCCATCACATGCATAATTATTTCTGCAGACCAAACAGCTTTCTAAAGACAGACTTTGAGAAATAATGCTGGCTTTGGCAGGATGGTTATGTGAACAGAAGAGTGAATGTAGGCCTCAGTAATGTAGTTCTGCAAACAAACAGAAGAAGTGAATGCCTTATTCATAGCAGGTGGGAAAGTGTAGCCTTTCTTTCACTGTTGTGTTTACACAGGTCCTGTGAAGTCATAGACTGGGTGAGCGAAGCTGATCAGATATATCATATCACTTGTCCTGTAGTGAATGGTGACAAGCCCAAAGACTTGGTAGTGCTTGTATCACGGAGAAGGCCTCTCAAAGATGGGTGAGTATGAGCAACCAAGTGCTGTAGTAATGTTTTGTAGAAAAGAGTAGAATGAAAAAGTTGATATGAAAATAAGGAAGGCAATTTTGGCATTTCTGGTCTTGAATGAGGTTCATCTGAATTTCTTCTAGATGGACCTTTAGTTATTTTTAAAAGTCATCTATTAAATGCCACCTGTGTGCAAAGCACCGTGCACGATTCCTGAAGCAGTTCCTTTTCCTTTTGCCTTTTTCCTTTTCCTATGCACACATCACATTGTTAGCAAACCTTTAGAATATTCCATTATCAGTAAAAATGCAGTGACTGCCAAATAAAACATCAGGAGCGGTTTAGAATTTACAAAGGCTCAATTATGCTAGACATTTAAAAGGCCTGGCTGCCAGCTAGGGCTGTTCACTAGAGTGCTTGTTCCTGACTTCTCTGTGGCCATTGGACTTCTCCGGGCATGATGTCTGCGTTCTAAGAAGTGTCATAAGAATTGAAAAGAAATAAGCAGTAGAAGCTTCTTGGACGTTTAAGGGCTACACCTGGAACTGGCCGGCATAATTTCCAATGTCAAAGCTGGCCTGTGGAAATAAATCACACACATGTGTGTTTAGGAATGCACATGGACATTCATTATAATATCACTGTATTTATCTATTTGACAAAAGGTAGAGAAATAAACTGAAGGTCCGTCTTATAAATTATGGTAGAGCCATACTGCAGAGTACTATGCCATCATTAAAAAGGATGAAGCAGCTATAGAGGCACTGATTCAGAAATATATCCAAAGATTTATTGGTAGGCGAAAAATCAAATTATAGGCCAATATTTATAAAATGCATTTATGCAAAAATCTGTACATGCATTTGCTTACGTCAGTGTTATATATTTATAAAAAGGTGTGAAGGGATACACAGCAAAATGTTAACATTTGTTAAGGGTGGTCCTTAGAACCCATTAGGGCATAACAAAACATGCTTAGAACTTGACTCCAGCCTTGTGGAGTTATGCAAAGTGTAACTAATTCTTAGGCAGACAATACCTATGGCCCTTATTACCCTTCCCTACACTTGAAGGTAGCCATAGAGAATGTATGTGTGGAGCCCTCATCTAGGAGAGGGGTCTCCATAGTTGCACTTCTACTTAAATAAATAAGTGGAATTCACTGCAGGAATTTGTTTTTGAACAACTATCCTTCATTTCTCACAATAACTTAGAGAATGTCCTTTCATTTTTCAGTGACAGTTACGTGGTGGCAGTGAAATCCATTATTCTACCATCAGTCCCACCTTCTCCACAGTACATCAGAAGTGAAATCATCTGTGCTGGATTTCTCATCCATGCAATCGACAGCAGTTCCTGTACCGTAAGTTTGATGAAACATCTGCACGTTAATTTGCTCCTACAGATACAGAGAAATCTTTTACCTGCATTTCCTAGTTAAGTGTAATTCTGTAACGTGTGTCCACATCAGGAGAATCCTGAGATCATCCTTTTAGTTCCATTCCAGAACATCCCCAGAAGATCAGGACCATAGCCTCCCCTATCCCAACTGGATTCAGATCCCTGCTTGACTCCCTTTCTTGGGAGTGCCTGGGTGACTGTGGGTTAAGCATCTGCCTTCTGCTCAGGTCATGATCCTAGGGCCCTAGGATGGAGTCCCGCATCAGGCTCCTTGTTCAGCAGAGAGACTGCTTTTCCTTCTCCCTCTGCCTGTCACTCCCACTGCTTGTGCACTATCAAATAAATAAAACCTTAAAAAAAAAAAAAAAACTTTTTTGGAAAAGTCTCAGTCAATAAACAATTAAAATAATGTATTTTCTTTTTGAGACAGGTATCATACTTCAACCAGATTTCTGCTAGCATCTCTCCTTACTTTGCTGGAAATCTTGGTGGCTGGTCAAAATCCATCGAAGAAACAGCAGCCTCTTGTATACAATTCTTAGAGAATGCTACTGAGGATGGATTGATAAACATATTTTAAATGGTAAACTTTCAATTACCTGTAATTTTATTTCCCACCTTTAATTCCGAGTACACTTAGCCCTGACAACTGGCAAGATTTTGGGCCACAAAATAATTTAATTTTGGCTTAAGCAAAAGGCAGTAAGGGGTTAAAAAATAAAATTGGTCTCAGGTCAAATACCAGTGATTTGGATTGTATTATTAGAAGAGTTTTAACACTGTTTTAGATCATCTGTGGCTCTCCTCCCTTCTAGGGGCACGGGCAGTGGAAATGGCCCATATGCAATTTTGTATGGACCATATAATGGTACAAATATGGTTTAAAATGATCATAAGCATTTTTACATTACAGAGATGAAACGTGTTCTGGTTAAAATTTTATAAAATTTTAAAAATCAAAAATGGTAAGTTGGCTAGTTGATTAATAGTGTGGGAATATTCTATATACGGCAGATATCTGTATGTCACGAGCATCTGACAAGATGTATTACATGTTTTAGAGCTTTAAATTAGGAAGACATTAAAACATAATGGAATTCAATCAATTTCAGTAATAGGAACTACTTTACTAGTGTCATTTCACATATATTCAAGGTGGCTGACCAATTTAGTATCTATTGCTATATATACACACAAAAAGTACCTGCAAAATGTGATATCACAGAGAAAGAGGGTATTAACCGAGCTTTTCTTTCATAACCATTATACTAGCACTTTATTCCCCAGACTTCAAGATTCATTATTCTACTCTGTGATTTGTCTTAACTCCTAGGACAAACCAGCACATGTCAAGTTGGCCTCCTCTACAGAACAACATTTAAGAGTTGAAGGACTTCATGAGAGTTTAGAGCATTAAGAAGTTAGGTACATCCTGCCATCCGTAGGTCAAATCTCTACCTCTGCTTCCCCTGCCTACCCCTCCCCCAGCCCATCTACTCTCCGAGCCTAGGTCTGGTGGTTATTTTTGTTCTGTGTCAGCAGGCTTTCATTTACACGAACTTTGGACTGTGCTCCAATTTTATGAATTAACATTGATATACAGTAAGAGAGTGGATATGCAGGTTTAAATGACTATACAGATCAGAAGTAGATTTTTGAGAATATTTTTAGATTTTAAAAAAGGTAAAAAAATTAGCAATAAAGGGGTTGCATTACACTAAAATTTTGTATGGTATAATTTCAAACCTCTCCTGTAACTGAGATGCTTCTAACGTCTGCCTATCAGAGGTCTTTGAATTTATATTTTTTTTGAAAATTACTGCAGTAATGACTTGAGGTGTTGGTGAAACATCCAAGGAGGAACTGAAATCAGGGATATTAGAGCAGATGGATTTAGGATTCAGCCTTGGAAAAGTGAAAGATAAGCTTGTAAGAGGTGGCATTTCCAGAGGATTGATGGAAGAATGCTAATGACGAAGTCCTAGGGGATGCAACAGAATATATTTTTTAAAGATTTATTTATTTGACACACAGAGAGAGATAGTGAGAAAGCACAAGCGGGGTAGTGGCAGGCAGGCAGGGAGAGGGAGAGGGGGAAGCAGGCTCCCTGCTGAGCAAAGAGCCCTATGTGGGGCTGAATCCCAGGACCCTGAGATCATGACCTGAGCCGAAGATAGACACTTAACTGACTGAGCCACTCAGGCGCCCCTCAACAGAATATTTTTAAAATGTAATAAAATATTTCGGATATTATTTTTCTGATACACTGATATGTCAAATATGTATTTTCCCCTCAAGTCTCATCTCCATCCTAAAGCTGCATTAGAATGCGTGTGACCTTGTTTGTCTTCATCACAACCATAATCCCAAGTACCTAAAAGAGTACCAGAAACACAGCAGGAACTGGAGAAAGATGCAGTGGATAAATAAAGTTAATGTTTGCCTTCCTCACTTGAGGAGACTTTTGACTCTCCAGAGTCTTTGGCACCTCATAGGACAGGTGAAATAAATCTGGGTGTGTTTGTACTAAATGTCTAAGGCAGTACTGCTGCCCTCTTCCAGCTGCACAACTTGTGTGATTTCTTTTAAATGGCACTCCTTTCTGGAAGGCTGAGCTATATTCTGTCCTGTTTTCCTCTCATATCAAAAATAAAACAACAGCTCCTATTAAAACTAGAACTGTTGAGGTATGCAGACATTAAAACAGAGATAAGTGTTTCTTTTCTTATTTGGTAAATATTTTGCTTTTGAAGCATCAGTGACTAATCGCAGCTGTTTCCTTTAGTTACAAATGTATCCAATCAGGTAAAATTCCAAATGAAACACACAATCCACTGGAGTCATTCCATTAAACAGTACAATGGGAGCCCTAAGCCTTGTGAAATATATGTATTAAGTATGCATGTATTCATCAAATCAAAGAAGCTAATGGGTCTCTGATTAGTGTTCTAACTCTATTACAGTGATAGTTGCATTCTCACCTGGACGCATCTAAAACATGTGAACAAAATGCTGTTAAGTGTAATATACAATCTGTTAAGTGACATCATTCTGGCAGAATATCTGAAACTAAATTTCGGCTAGAATTTCTCTCTTGAAAATCAAGAACAAAGAAGAGCTGCTGTTAAGGTATTCTTCTATTTTACCTCAATAATTTGTACTTCTTTATGTCAAAACTAAAATAAATATTAACCAAAATTAATCTTATCTAGACTTCACAAAAGATGGTATTTCCAAAGGGTTTGTACCTGGACATAAAGAGAGGATGGCTAGTATAATCCAGAATCAGGTATTCAGAAAAATAAGTAAATAGCAAATGAATTTTTATTATTTTAAAAATATAGTGGATTTTGTGGCAATTAATAAATTCATAATAATAAGGTGGTGTTTTGAACAAAAAAAACAATCTAACTAAAAATTCAATTCCGAATGCCAAGCAGTAAAACTTTATGTAGGGGTGGTTCACATTAATACATAGTTTTTAAGAAAAAGATGATTGTTACAATCAAGCATATAACCACTTAGTTATACCTAAGTTCTGTTAAAAATGTTCTTTTAGAGAATCCAATTCTAACGTCTTCTACTTCTCCAGTGATTTTCTCCAGTGATAAAAGCACTCTTTAATGGACAGCACTCAGGAAACTATGCGACCATTCCCTGATCATACTGGTATCTACAACACAGGTCTCCAAGGGAGCCCAGCTCCAATTTGCGAAGTAGGCCCAGTTCAGAATATTTAACAATGAGGTGGTAACTAATGACAGTACTAATCATTATCAGAAATTAACAACTTTAGGTATCTTTGTCTTGGGTTTTTGTGGTTTAGGTACATCCAAAATTTCTTCATAGTCGGCGCTCATTCCCTTTGCCAAGCGACCAACCGTGACCATTCGATCTGTTAAGGAATGGAAGTTAGAATGTAAGAAAAATGGTAATCAAGTACATCCCTGTAGTTTGGAACTGGCTGAGCAAAGGAACTAGTTTTGACATGAATAATCACAAAGAGGGAAGACTCCCATCACTAAAGGAGAGTGAGCATTCTGTAATTGATTATAACCCTTGATTTCAGAGTACCGCAGGCAATTTCTCATCCCAATTAGGGAAATGCAGCAACTGCTTTGCAATGCACAAATTGATGAGAAAGCTCTTTCATTCTTTCCCAGAGTTCATCATTATAGAGTCAATGAATTCCAAGAATCTGTAAACAGTATGACTTATGAAGCATCGGTTTTAAATGCACAGGATTCCACCTGTGAAATTATACAACATCTGCTTGTCAGTCTTGTCATTCGGGAAATGGCAACCCTCCCAGGAGGGAGGATTCAAATTCCACTTCCATCATTTCAGTCCTCCTGCCTACAATGTAGTAAAGACTGTCGTCTTCTCTACAAGACCGTAAATAAGAACTCTGGGTTTTCAAAGGTAAATGTTCAGGTAGGAAGTAAGAATGAGCAGATTTTGTGTAGTACTGTCACTATTTGAGATAAAAAGAAATGTGCTTTTTCCCTAAGAAGTACTACTTTTGCCCTCTTGTCTTTCTTCCACTCAAGATTATCATCATTCCAATCCAGGTAAACTAGTATGATAATCACATCCACTTCCCTCACATACATATAGTGAACATTTTTGAAGTTTTGATGACCAACAGTAGTATTTCATTAGAAAGAAAATACAACTGGCCTGATGATGTGTACCTAACAAAATTTTAGTATTTTTGGCTGTTTTTGCATTCAGCTCTGAATCCTTCAGATATAGATGAAGCAAACCATTTGTGAGAATGCTCAATCATAAAAATATTGAGTTATTTTCATATTTTTTATTTCCTCTTAGTGAATCAGTATTTTTCTGTTGGTGACAGAACTGGCTTTATTATTAAATTCATTAGTGGAAGTTAAAAATGTGTATAAGTAAGATGCTTTGTAAGATGAGGGTCCTCTAGGGCTTAGTGGTCACCTTTTCCCCACCTGACAGTACCAGCTACTAGTGCTCAGTTACGACTGCATCTACTCCTGACAGAGAAATGACTAGATTGTCACTGCAGCAAGAAACCAGGTTGTCTTAAAATTAGTGGCACCTCAGTATTAACAAAATTCAGCAAAAACACAGAATAATAACCTCAGGCCTTCTAAATAGAGGCCCAGAGATCTCACCTGAATTCTGGCTCTCAGGGCAATCTTTCTTAAAATGGTCCACAGAGCCACAGAGTCTGCAGCAACCACCTATTAAAAGAACAAAGTCACTGAAAACCTCTCATACTTACAAGGGACTGTAATGTCTCAAAGCATTTTTCATATCTTATTTGGTCCTCACAGCCTTGTCAGTGCACAGGGAGGTGGAAACAGGAACACAGGTAGGTGCCACCATTCCTGTTAATAAGTCCACTCTCTGTCCTTTTGATCCCACAGAGCCCTAAACTGTACCTATCCACTAGTTCTTGCATCTGGCCTTCAGAGGAGAAGAGGGACAGAGAGGAGGGAGATAATGGAAGAAGGTACTTGTGCTCTGGAGTGTCCAAGAGCCACTGCATAGAAGATCGTAACTGTGGTTACATAGGCAAAGATTTGTGAGCTGTTGAACCTGTAAGCAAAAGTCGTGTCCTGATGCATTTTTTCGAGGAGGATGTCCATATTTCTTATCAAATGATCAATGACCCCAAAAAGATTAGGAGCCATTGCTCATCTGTACAGGTCAGATGGGGGTGATCAGTTACAAAAGGAACCAAATTCACTTTTGTTTTAGTGCCTTCAATCTGCCAGGCACCCTAACACTAATAAAAATGCCTGTCTGCCTACTTTAAACAACATTCCAGGACTGTGAATTACCACACATGTAGTTTCTGAAATTAATCTTTCCCTTAATGGTCAAACACTATTACTTAATGGTCAAGCATTATCATGACATGCTTATAATGTGAAGTGACTTACCCAGAAATATGACATTATAGGATGTAAACCTGGCTGAATTCTCACTTCTCTGTGATCTCTTCTTTCCTTTGCTGCACTTTTAAAAAACATCTAATCATTTTGCATAACCATCCAAAGCCATCTTTATCATCAGTCATGTCATCAGACCTGTGTCGTAAGTTTAAAACAGAAAGGCACCTGTGGGCCTTTTCCAGGGCCAGCTTCTTTACTGTTATAGATGCCAGAGTGAAATGGGAGAGGGACACTGAACAGTAGCTCTTCAGTACCATAATTCAATCAATACCATAATTCATCAAATCTAAGACACTGAATATAAGCTATATCATTATTTAAAAAAAAATAATTTTTGGGCACCTGGGTGGCTCAATGGGTTAAGCCGCTGCCTTCGGCTCAGGTCATGATCTCAGGGTCCTGGGATCGAGTCCCACATCGGGCTCTCTGCTCAGCAGGGAGCCTGCTTCTCTCTCTCTCTCTCTGCCTGCCTCTCTACTTGTGATCTCTCTCTGTCAAATAAATAAATAAAAATCTTTAAAAAAAATAATTAAAAAAAAATATTTTTAAAAAATAATATTTTAAAACCTCTCAGGGAAAAAAAAAAAATCCCTGCCAATTACATGGCACCCACCACTGGTAAGATATATTCTGAGTTCAGAGACATTAAAATGTGAGAAAATGTACATCTTAGAATCAAGGAAATATAGTTTTTCATCTCCATTTAACAGGCAAGGAAACTGAACTGAGAGAAATAACAGAACTCAGCCAAAGTCCCACTAGTGAGTGATGGTACTAGAGCTATAACCCGTCAGCTTGATTTGAATGCTGTGCCTTTTCACTGGACTTCTCCCATGCGACCCAGGACATGACATACAAGACGTATCTGGAACCTGATGGCATCAGTTAGCACATAAGCACCTTACTCATAGTAACAGAAAATTTCCTCCTTAAAGCTTCGGACATCACAGACTCTAAGGAGCTTAAGATGTTAGTTGAGCTAAAGATAAGAGAGGTACATGATCCCACGCTAGATGATTACCCAAGGAAAACATTCAGAAACAAAGATTACAATACATATTGAAGAGTGTCTACCAGCCCGTCTATCCAAAATGGTATGCTAACCTGTGATTAAATCCACAACACTATTTTTTTAAATCTTATATTAGCTTGAGATATACCCCCTTTGCTTCTGTTGTGTTTAAAAGTAGGTATTTATAACATACTCTCACAAATGATGCTGAAACAAGCAAAAAGCTTAAAATATATACTTTAGCTTTTTGTCTTGATTAATACGTCATATTACACATAAAGTCCAGTACATAGAATAGAGTTTGATAAAAACTGAAATTCTTAAGGTTTTGTTTTTTGTCCAAGAATTGATTCAAGAGCTAATTAAGACTCTACGTTAAATCACAACTCTGCATTCTAACTCACCTTTTCTGACATATAAGGGTAACGGTACTCACCATCAGCATAGAGTCCTTTGGGATTATCAGGACAGGATCTGGATAGATGCCCCATTTCCCCACAAACAAAACATTTTGCAAAAGGAAATTCACCTGTAAGGATCAACATTTTCTGTTAAGTTGGCTAAGTACAGAACAAGTCATATAATTCATATTATTTTAAATAATCTGGAAAAAAAACCCTTTTTTATACAACTTAAAATTTAATCTCAATTTCAAAATAATAAGTGGCATGCTCATGACAAACTCGGTCCCCAAAAATCCCACTTGTGACATTTACCACACTAAAATCAATAGAAAGAAAACATACCAAGAGCTGGGTCTACTTTGGCTTTGCACTTGGTCATTTCATGCTCTGTGGACCCACACCGATAACATATTCCAGTTCCCATATCTTGATTCTCAAGGGCAGCTGGGCAATCTGCAATCCCATGGCCAGGTTTTCTACAATGGAAACATACCTGGGAAGACAAAATGTGAGTTTCCACATTACAAAACTACACTGGCTTTATTAATTCTTGAATTCAAAAATATCTTTAAAATGTCTTTCGTTTGTTATCTAGCTCTTTTTAAAAAAATCTCAATGTTTTATCTGTAGAAAAAAGTTGTTCCATACATTCCTAAACAATAAACGTCATTTCCAGGAGAGGGTCTCAGCACTTTTGAAAACCATCAATCCATAAATCCATCAATCTCAGACACAAAGTTAAAAATGGTTTCATAGAAACTACTTAAATGAATTAAGCAAATATGGACTATTAATTTCATTAAGGGGATGTCTTTTCTAGAAAAACTGAGTTTTCTGTGAAAAATAGAAAATGACCATAAAAATTATCAGGCATAATTCATACTGGTACTTACAAAGTTCATATAATTGAATACATTTGAGTCAAATGATGCCATTTAAATTATGATTCAAATTATATTTCATACCAAAAAATGTATCTTATAGTTTTCATAACTTTAATGCATAATCTTTAATACTCAGAATTAGGTGTTTCATTTTTAGAGTATGTACACAATACATTTTTTAAAGATACTTATTTATTTTACAGAGAAAGAGACAGCGAGAGCAGGAACACAAGCAGGGGGAGTGGGAGAGAGAGATGCAGGCTACCCTCTGAGCAGGGAGCCCAGTGTGGGGCTCGATCCCAGGACCCTGGGGATCATGACCTGAGTTGAAGGCAGACACTTAACGACAGCCACCCAGGCACCCCTACACAATACATTTTAAAAGAATAATTATAACATGAAATATCTGGCTCCAACATAACACTAAATAATTATTTGGTCGCTTTACATACTACCTACTGATGTGCAGAATAGTTTTTGCTGTAATGAATAAGAACAATAATCATAATCAAATATGGTGGATACTCAAAGATATGTAAACTATTTTATATAAACTGAAAAAAGGTATATATATATATTTCTTGGACAACAAATGGTTTATTTTTTCAAAAATTTTTTTGAAAAAAGGGGCGCCTGGGTGGCTCAGTCACTTAAGTGGCTGCCTTTGGCTCAGGTCATGATCCCGGGGGCCTGGGCTCCTGGGCTCCCCCTCACTGATCCTGCATTGGGCTCCCTGCTCAGTGGGGAGCCTGCTTCTCCCTCTCCCTCTGCCTGCCACTCTGCCTACTCATGCTCTCTCTCCTTCTTTTGTCAAATAAGTAAATAAAATCTTAAAAAAACTTTTTTTAAAACAATTTTTTTTAAAAATAAGCACAGGATTTTTAAAAAGCAAATTAAACAGGCAGATAAAACATATAATATATTGCAACTGTGTCCTCATTTTTTCCATTTCATAACATACTGGAAAAGAATGAACCCCTTTAAATCTTCACTAACTTTTACATTTAGAATGAGGTGGCCCAAACAAAGAAAATGCAGTTTTATACAGGTTCAGGAAAAGCTAATGGCTAAAAACTAGATCACCATAAGAAGAAGACCGGAAACCCTGGTGAAGTCAACATGGTCTCTAGTAACATGACAGTTCACTGATTAGGTTTTTACCTTTTTTTTTTTTTTTTTTTTAGATTTTTTTTATTTATTAGAGAGAGAGAGAGAGCACGAGGTGGGGGTGGTGCAGAGGGAGAGGGGCAAACAGACTCTCTGCTGAGTATGGCACCCTACACGGAGCTAGAAGCAGGGCTCCATCCCAGCACCCTGTGATCATGACCTGAGTGGGTCAGATGCTTAACTAGCTGAGCCACCCAGGCACCCCAGGTTTTCACCTTTAAAACCCAATTGTCATCAAATGCAAATTTTTTTTTATTTTTTTTCAAATGCAAATTTCTTGAATGATCCTAAATTTAACTTAGATGGGACTATGGACAGTGAACATCATAAATTATCTTAATTTATTAGCAATTAAGAATTGATGCTCAGACTGAACAAACTACATACTTTTAAAATATATGCTTTAATAGAAAGCATTTATTTTTTCTTGAAAACCAATGTCTTTCTCCCTTAATTACAAATATAAAACTTCTCTTAAAAGGTCACAATATGGGGGTGCCTGGGTGGCTCAGTGGGTTAAAGCCTCTGCCTTCGGCTGAGGTCATGATCCCAGGATCCTGGGATAGAGCCCTGCATCGGGCTCTCTGCTCAGCAGGAAGCCTACTTTCTGTCCTCTCTCTCTCTGCCTGCCTCTCTGCCTACTTGTGATTTCTGTCAAATAATAAATAAAATCTTTAAAAAAAAAAAAAAAGTCAATATAAATGTTTCAAATACTATGCAATTCATCATAGTGCTTATGTCAATGAAATTATCTTTAAGTTACATTACCTTTAAGTTAAATTAGCTTGATAAAAATTTTTTTAGATTTTATTTATTTACTTTAGAGAGCGAACACACATGAACAGGGGGAGAAACAGAGGGAGAGGGACAGACTCCTCAGTGAGTGTAGAGCCTGACATAGGGCTTGATCTCATGACCTTGAGATTGTGACCTGAGCCCAAATCAGGTCAGTTGTTTAACCAACTGAGCGACCCAGGCGTCCCAATTAAAATATTTTTAAATAATGGTACAATTTAAATAAAGCTATCCTGATCCAAATAAAAATGATTACATTTTCTATCCATATTTATTCATAAGGAATGTTTGACTAGCATTATCTCTAAATGATTATCTGCAAGTATGTATAAAACTAATCCTGCAAATAAAAATGAAGGTGTAAATTGATAACAAATACTGATTTTTATGTAGCATCTTACTAGAAGACTTGGAAAATTCACTTAGAGAAGGGAAAGAATTATATGAAGTATTTCATTTCCTACGTCTGACAGTTTAAAAATCCAGGGGTGGGCAAAAGAAATCAATGTGCAGCCCCCAACATTCCTCTGAGTAGTATGGAGAAGGGATGGAGCAATGACTAGGAACAAACTCAAGGGATCTTAACTCTATTACTCTGCTCTGTTACTAACTAGTGTGAGTCTTATTAGACCTCATTCCTGTGCCTCAGTTTTTCATGCATAAAGACAAAAAACATCCTTTCCAAGTAAAGGGAACCACACATATTTAACCTGTTGCACTTAACCCTCCACCTTACTTTTTTTTTTTTTTTTTTAAATGCCTGTTTAAAAAGAAGCTACTGGAAGGCAGGAATAAGAACATAGGTTTTGAAGTCAGACAAGCTCTTGTTTGAATTTCATCTCTGCTACTATACTAGCTATGTGGCTGTCAGCACTTTTTTACATCTGCCTGTACATCAGTGTTTTATCCGCATATGAGACTAATGCTACTATCTTTATAGTGTTGTTGTGATAATTAATCACATCAAGTGCCCAGCATACAGGAAGTGCTAAAAAAGTCCTAATGTGGGGCACCTGGGTGGCTCAGTGGGTTAAGCTGCTGCCTTCAGCTCAGGTCATGATCTCAGAGTCCTGGGATCGAGCCCCGCATCGGGCTCTCTGCTCAGCGGGGAGCCTGCTTCCTCCTCTCTCTCTGCCTGCCTCTCTGCCTGCTTATGATCTCTCTGTCAAATAAATAAAATCTTAAAAAAAAAAAAGTCCTAATGTTATTACTAGCCTTCAAAAAGATGCTTTATAAATCTAGTATGTAAGAGCATCAGATTCTGTTAGAATATACATTGTGTGAGTATATGAATAATAGTTCTGACCTATATAAAGTAATATTTCAGTTAAAGTAATGATCTTACCATTGCATTTTTCTTTGCTGCTTGTCTTTTTAGTCTTCTTCCTTCCCGTCGACTATCCTTCTTTAAAGCAACTGCAATTTCTTCCCTTACCTCCTCACTGTCTGCTGCTATCATCTCTCCATTATGAACTCTCTGTGAGTTTTGTCTTAGGTATTCCATGAATCCATTTACATCTTCATTAAAGTACTCCTTTTTCTTTTTGTTCTTTTTGTGTTTTGCTTGGGGAGCATCATTTTTAACGGAGAGCCTTTTGGCTTCAAGTTGTTTACTCTTTGGTAGATTTTGGCTTTCTCCCTCAAAGGACCCCTTCTTCATGTCCTCCCATGATGTTGCAGCCAAAGGTCTCTTGTTATGAGTGGTAGTAACTCGGGCCCACCTGGTCATGATTTCATCAGCGGTACTTTATCAAGCTTTAAGACAAGCATGGATGTTAGTAACCATTAAAAAAAAAAAACAAAAACCACTAAAGATCCACACTGTATCACATTATGCCCATAAGTTAAAGCCTTAATTATTTAAACACTTCATTTAGATATCTGTATATTTAATTTTATAATATGCGGCACAGATATGCCTGTAAAATAAATCGACCCTTACCAAAAGAGCTACCACACCAGTAAAACAAAACAAAAAAACCCAACACATATATAAATGCTTAAAACTGTAAAACATTTGATGAAGTAACCAAATTACTTTGTAAAATTTGAATCACAAAGTAATACAGTGAATGAAGTTACTCTTCCCAAATTCTGCAGTTTTCCTGGCTGTTTTCCTATCTGTTAAGTCCCAAGGCTACTTTCATCCCACCTTCTCGCTGAGTCAGTTCAGTGCAAACAATCTGCATAGCAAATTAAGTACACAGAAATCCTGTCCTTTGGCGCAAAGTTTGCCATTACAACCCTTCCCGCAGATTGATACGTAACATATACAAAAGGGTTTGTTTATGGTCACGTAAGGATGCTGGGTCTTCTAGCTCATCAGACTATAAACCACTTCGAGCCCAGTGGTTTCCAATCATTTTCAATTACTGAGCCGCGCCCCTTTGGGGGCGGCATGCCGTTTACCAAACAGGGTTAAAACCTCTCAAGTCTCGTGGTTAGAAACCTCCCGGAAACACACGCTGAAGGGCGGAGCCAACGAGTCACTGAGACGCTACACACTTCTACACCCCGCGCGCACACGGCTCACTGCAGATCCTGCGACTGTCACAGTAGGGACTGGAGCTGTCCAAGAGGTGCATTATCCTTCCTATGAGGACAAGGAAAGGGGGAAGCTCTAAGTATCAAGATGTAGTTGGGGGAGCCCACTGGACACCGGGTCCCGGTAGGGCTGGATGCGCCAGCCCAGGCGGCTAGCACCCGACCGCTGAGAGCCGACCCCGCGACGGCACCCTCGGCGGGCCTCGGATCCCGGCACTCCAGCCCCATCTGCCGTTGAGAGCTGTTGGGGGCCCAGCAGTCAGTCTCTGCGCCTTCCCGGCAGGTCCCTGGGAGCGAATGGGAGAAACACACTGCACCGGCCGGGGTGGGGGGTGTCCCATGGTCCTATCTCGCTGAGCCGCTCGCAGCTACTTACCGCGCACGAATCCTCCAGGGCAGCTGAGTTAGCCAGCCAGAGAAGCCCGCCCCCGGCGACTGAGTCTGCACTCGGGATCGGAAATACGTCCCCGAGAGTGCGTCACTTCCGGCAGGCTAATGTGGGGCGGGGCACGTGTGCTAGTTAGAGTTGCTCTCGTGGGCCGGGGCGTGCGGCTGAGTGAAAATTTGTGGAGCGCCGAGGGTTTGAGGGGTGCAGCGCTGCACAACGGGGACGCAAAGATGAAGAGTGCTTAATCCGTGCTGTCCGGAACCCACAGCTCAGTAGAAGAGCTGCATGGCAGCATGGGGGTGTGGTAAAGACTGGAGAAGGTGGCCTTTGAACTGTACTTTTAAAATCATTTGGGGGTGGGAATGAGTGAAGGGCTTTTCAGGTAGATGTAAGGTAAAAGTCTTAGCGCAGTAGTAGTGGGTCATTCTCCTAGAAATTAAAAAAAAAAAATTAAAAAAAAAAGATATTTAGGGCCCAATTGAGAGGAGAGTGGTGCCTCGTGATCCTCCTGCCTAATGCTAGTTAAGCCTTCAACTGAAAAAATTATACTTTGTGGCCAAAGAAGTTCTCTTTTTAAGAGGAAAACCCTAGTTTGTTAATTTATTATCTCAAATCTTTTTCAAACAGCTACCCCCACCAGTTGTACTTAGTGGGGACAATGGCATTGTCACATCACTTCGTTCACCAAGTTCGCTACTTCCATACCTATCATCATGGTCGATCCATCTTGCCCCTTAACTATCTTTCCACTTCATCTCTACTGCTCCTCCCTTGTCCCAGGTTTCATCCCATCTCACCCGGATTACTGGCAGATGGTCTGGGCATCTACTTTTTACGCCACTTCCTCACCCATTTTCATTTCTTAGCAAAGTGAATTTTTGGAAGTGTGAATCAGGGGTGCCCGGGTAGGTGCCATTGTTAAGTGCCGACTCTTGGTTTCTGCTCAGGTCAAGATCTCAGAGTCCTGGGATCCAGTCCTGAGCCCTGTCTGCCTCTCTGCCCCTTCAGCTCCTGCTCTCACTCTGTCTCTCAGGTCAATAAGTAAATCTTTAAATAAAATGTTTTTTTACTCTTCTGCCTTAATCCCTTCCATAGTTTCCCATTGATCTTTTTCTTCTCTCTCTCTGTCTCTCTCTCTTTTAAGAGATCTTATTTATTTTAGAGGGCTTGGGGGAGAAACAGAGGGAGAGATGATCTTAAGCAGGCTCCATGCCCAGCGCAGAACCCCAGGCAGGGCTCAATCTCATGATCCTGAGATCATGGCCTCAGTCGAAATCTGGAGTCAGACGATTAATGCACTCAGCCACCCAAGTGCCCCTCCCATTGTTGTTGTTTTTTTTTTTAAGATTTTTATTTATTTATTTGACAGAGATCACAAGTAGGCAGAGAGGAAGGCAGAGAGAGAGGAGGAAGCAGGCTCCCTGCTGAGCAGAGAGCCCGATGCGGGGCTCGATCCAAGGACACTGGGATCATGACCTGAGCTGAAGGCCGAGGCTTCAACCACTGAGCCACCCAGGGGCCCCCCTCCCATTGTATTTAAGATGAACTTCAAACTCCTTGAGTTGGAGTTACTTCACTAGTCTCTCCCTGTACAATCTCCCCTTCTTTGACCCCGGGGACTTTCCTCAATTTCTCAAATGCTGTGCGTACCTTGCAGTCTCCAGGCCTTTACATATGCTGTTGTCTTTGCACAGCACTTTTTCTTCTTTCAGCTAAAGTATTTACCCTTAAAGTCTTTTTACATTTTATTTTTAAGTAAGCTTTCCTATTCTGCTCCCCTGCCACCCAAATTAGACCAATCCCCTCTTGTACACTCGTGGCAGTCTTTACTTAAAACACTGCTCAAATTAGTAATTACATAATAATTGTGTAATAAGTTGTTTATTGTATTCCCATTGCCTGGTATACATAGTTGGTACTCAGTATGGTTTTGTTAGACAAAGAATAAGTATGCTGCAATGCTTGTTAAAGCAAACTGGGAAGTGGCCTGATTTTCTTTAGGAGTAAAGATTAAAGTCAATGCTGTAGAAATAATGGAATTTGGTATGGTGAATATCACAAATATTCTAGGTTTTATGGTGGCGGGGGGGGGGGTTGTAAAAGAAAATATTCCTCCAGCTCTTGAAGAGAGGGAGCTTTCTAGTTGTATGATTATCCACTTCATAGCATGTTCTCTACCAGCTGGCTTCAGGTTCTAAGCAAACTAGGGACATTTCATAAAAAGGTTTTCTTTTGTAGAAGCAAGTACTTGCACATAATGGAAACCACTAGAGGGTGCATTCAACTAAAACTTGTCTTTTTAGTATTATGTTGAATTTTAAACTGTACAAAGTTCATTTCCTGGTAGTGAAGGAACATAATCTCAAATTGTTTTTGTGTAAGTATATCAAGTGAAGATTAGTAATTGAGTAAATAAATGGAGGTCCTTTGGGATTCAGAAGAAAATATCACTACTAATAACAGCTAACTTTCATTGAACATTTTATAGGTACCTAGCGCTGTGTGCTGAATGTTCTTCATAATTGCTTACTTCACTCTTCACTTCATCCTGAGAGGTAGGTACTACATTTTGTCCATTTTACAATGAGGAAACAAGCTCTGAAAGCTGAAGTAACTTACCCAAGTTCACACATCTAGTAAGAGGTAGAGTTAATGATTTGAATGAAGATATCGATTCAAAGGTGTGGGCTCTGCTACATTGAAATACTGTAGGAGATTGTTTGCCTGTTTGAACCTTCTTTGAAATGAAGACTTTATTTTCTTAGAATGTACTCAGTTTTACAGTTGATGGGGTTATCTTTTTATTAAATTTGAGCCATTCGTATATTATTGAAATACTACAGGTATGCTATTTTCATAACAGTATTATCCACGGGGTAAATTTTTTTTCTTTTTTTTTTTTTAAAGAGAGCATGCACACGCAAGAGGGATAGGGGGACGGGGACGGAGATGGGCAGAGGGAGAAGGAGAATCTCAAGCAGATGCCACGCTCAGCCCAAAGCCCAGTGTGGCTCTCAGTCTTACAACGCTGAGATCATGACCTGAACCGAAATTGAGTGTCCGATACTTAACCAACTGACCCGCCCAGGTGCCCCTCTACAGGGTGAATTTAAGTGAGGAGCTTAAGTTTTGGTTATGAAGGATCAAAGTACCTCATTTTTAGAAAATTCTCAAGTGTATTGTACATCAAAAAAGGATAAAAAATATACAAAGTAATTATCATGTGAACACTACCCAGTTTAAGAAACTACCTCTTGCCAGATATAGATTTAAATTATATTACCGTAGTTTTTTACCCAGGCAATACATTTTTATGTTTCCAACAAAATAGTTATGATAGCAGATTTCTGTAAACTGTCTCTCATCCTGATAATTAGAAATTTTGAGCAAAATAGAAAAAACAACTATGTGAGGACTCTGAAGAGTAAGTAAACACAGACCCTTGTGGAGGGGAGTCAAAATCCATAAAAGCAACCAGCACATGGGTGAGTATGTGTGTGTGTCTTGGCCCTGAGAGTGGGTCATAGTCACAAAATGCATGAGCATCTAAAACTATAATTGAAATCCTGCCATCATTTTACTGGCTGGAAGAACCAGAGTGAAAAAGCATGTAACAGCCACACCTCTAAAGTGAGGGGGAATCCTGGAAGGGAGAGAGCCATAAAAAGGATTCTTCTACTTCTGTATGTGAACCCATGTGCTAACTCCTGACCCCACATGCACAAGACAAACTCAGAGGCTTAAGGAAATGAACTGAGATTGGAATGGACACCTATAAAAAATGAGACAAAGCCTGTAACACAAGTCTAAAAAAGTTAATTGCCTACTAAAAAAACTTTTTTTTTTCTGTAAGGTTTAGAATTGAGAGTATATACAAAATAACATCCACAATGCCCAGGATAAAAACCAGGATGTAAACTTACACTGGTTCAGTGGTACTTTGAATTCTGGTCTTCTTCCATAATTTGCCTGCTGCTTTTTATTTTTCAAGTTCTCCAATAGCTGATCTATGTGTTATGTTTTATTGATGCATTCAGTGGGAGACACAGGGTGGAGTGTGCTTATTCCTTCTTACCTGAAATTGGAAGCACTCCCATTAGAATTTTGAATCTTACTCTTGTCTAGCTTGTCTCAAGAGGTGATTGGCTAGACTAGCTAGAGGTGCTGCAGGAGTAGGGGTGTCCAAGGCCCAGCCTCAGGGAGCTAGCCCACTAGCTGAGTCATACATTAGGGTGAGCAGATTCAAAACAAGCTCTTTAATTGTAGAGTATTTGTAATGGAGGATAGCAAATCTAGAAAGGTTAGCTGGGACCAGATTTTGCCAATTGATGTGTTTTTTAATTTTAATTTTTTTTAATTTTTATTTTTTTCAATGTTCCAAGATTCATTGTTTATGCACCACACCCAGTGCTCCATGCAATACGTGCCCTCCTTAATACCCACCACCAGGCTCACCCAACCCCCCAGCCCCCCACCCGCCTCGCTTCCAAAACCCTCAGTTTGTTTCTCAGAGTCCAGTCTGTCATGGTTCATCTCCCCCTCCGATTTCCCCCATCTCCCTTCTCCTCTCCTTCCAATGTCCTCTTTGTTACTCCTTATGCTCCACAAATAAATGAGACCATACGATACTTGACTCTCTCGGCTTGGCTTAATTTCACTCAGCATAAGCTCCTCCAGTCCCATCCATGTTGACACAAAAGTTGGGTATTCATCCTTTCTGATGGAGGCATAATATTCCATTGTATATATGGACCTTATCTTTATCCATTTGTCCATTGAAGGGCATCTTGGCTCTTTCCACAGTTTGGTGACTGTGGCCATTGCTGCTATGAACATTGGGGTACAGATGGCCCTTCTTTTCACTACATCTGTG